GTGAACATTTATTTTTGTATATATATATATATATAGCAGCGATCAATTCTTGGAGAATAGTGTTGTAAGATGTCGAGTCTGTTTGTCAATTCGTCAATGCTAGATTGGTATAGATTTGGTAAATTTAAGCAAATGAGTCGATAGCTGGTTTTTTATCGGACAAAGAGGTAATGAAGAGAGAGAGAGAGAGAGAGAGAGAGAGAGAGAGAGAGGTTGGCATCTGAGAACACGTTGTTAGTACAATAATGATCTCCCCCCTGTTAGTACAAGAACGAAGGGTCGTAACACATCAAAACCCAGCAAGGACGAGCTGCCCCCCCCTCTCCTGTTTGTTGTACACACGGCAGGCATCTTCAAACAGTTCCTCTCCCATTTTCATTAGTATTGATCGACTACATTCATTCAATTCATACAACAGGGGATGCTATCACCGGCTTGCATCCATCCTTCTTCGACACATCTTCAAAGTCACACGAACACACAGTAACAATAGCTTTTACCAGCATTAGGAGGAAGCTTGAAACCAAACATGAGCGAGTGTCGGATGTCAGCTCAAAAATTGGGCAAAGGCATTCGTTTGCATGCAGTCCTGCCTACATGGTGAAATCATCACAAGGCTTCCCACCATTATCTTGAGCATTGATGGGAGGACAAGTACCGCTCGTCAGCTTCATGGCAGCGCTGAGTTCTTCCTCCCAGGAACCCTGCATCTGTAGATAACAACAACAACAACAACAACAACAACCAGAACCATTGAAGCTTGGCATTACGGAAGACAGGTATAACCGATGCTCGGCATTATTAGCAGATAATGTGCTGCAAAACAGGCAGCCACTTATGATGCCTGCCTGCCTGCATGCATCCCAAGGGATCGAGGGATTACCATGCTACAGATCCCACCCGGAACAACATACTGTTGAGATGATGGGTGTAGCTGAGGATGTATCATCATCATCATCATCTCCTGTGGCAATCCAGCTGCTGACAAAGTGTCATCGCAGGAATGCATCTGTCGATGATAGGCAGAAGCAAGCACCGATTACTGCTAATCGTTTCGCCGATGATGACGATACGATGCCTGCCTGCAGAGAAAGAGAAATGTCACGTACCTCTTTTGCAACAAGCTCTTCCATGCCGTAGTTGTGTTGAGCATTGACAGCCGCAAGCTTCATCGAGAGGAACTGCACGGGAGAGACGGATGAATGAATGAATACGAAGCATCCATCCGAGGGAGGAATCACAGGTAGCAGCAGCGTAGCATACCTCAACTTGCTGTTGAAGTGACTGAACATAGTTTATGATCTCATCCAGCATGACTGCTTTCCCTGTGACCTGAGTTCATAAAAAGATCAATCAGCTTTCGATCAAAGTTTGGGGGGTGCGTTTGTGCCGCCACCAAATATCCTCCGAGACTGACTCACTTTGCTACAGCCGGGAACGAGGTTTTGCAGATACTTCATCCTTTCGCTTATCCTTTCTCTTCGCAACTGCAATAGCATGATTCGACCAAATTTCTCAAGTACGGGAAGACATGGTGAATCTTTCTTTCTTTCTACAGAAATCCATCTTACTCTTTCTGCGATGCTGTGGCTGTTGGTTGCTTGTCCACGCCGAGCTCTGACGTGAACGTAATCCTCCTTGGGCATCTCCGAGCCATCGTCGACGTGTTTCGGCTCTTGTTTTTGTTTGGCTTCGATGCCCTCTGCTGCGTTCCTCGACGATGATCGTGGCCATCTTCGTGCTCGCTCACCCCTTTCCTTGTCCTGGAGCAGGTGGTGTTCGTGAATGATTACGAGCGTCGGGACAGCGGAACCAAACAAGGAGCGGCTCACCGGATCGATGGGTTTTCTCTTCTTTGCGCCGAGATCACTCGGACACGACTCCCCTGGTGCACCTGCTGAACCGGTGCGTGTTTCTTGGCTACCTCCGGTGAGATGGGCGCTTGCTTTGTTCCTCTGGTTCTTGATTGGACTCCCACTTGTCGATTCATGGTCCAGAGGGAGCGGGAGCGATGCATCTTTGGCTTCGGATACGGTCAGCGTGATCTTCTGAAGCTGAGATCCTATGACATCCCTGGAGATATCAGCGCAAGAAGGAGCCACCACCGGTTGAGACGAAGCTAAGGAGTTGATGATGCCGCTGAAGTGGCCACCGGCGTGCGAAAACATGGCAGCCCGTTCGACGAAGGCGGAATCAGCGGGGAAGAACAGCCCCCTGGCGGACATGACCACTGGTTTTCCAATCGGAATGCGGTTGACGAAGCTCGTGGTGAGGTTCTCATCGGAAGCCATAGGAACGAAGGAATCGAGCATGGGAACCGAAGGACAGGGAAATATTTGGATGCTGGGAAGGGTGGTTCAGGCGATCAGCAGTCGTCCTCACGGGATGGAGTCGACCCTTTCTCACTCATCTCTTTTATCCTAATCATCCAGCGGATGAGAGTCGGAAAGCAAACAAAGTAGGGCGAGATTGGATCTCCTCGTTCAAAATCTAGTCTTGATGGCGTTCGAGAGATGCGGCCTCAGCTGCAAACACTGGCAGGGAGGTGACACGGATGGCATGGATGCATGAGATGGGAGAGAGACAGAGACAGAGACAGAGACAGTGAGTGTGTAATGGGTCAAAAGAGAATGACAAGCTAAACAGGAACGAAGGAGCTTCTCTTATGTAGCAGAACCAGAGGGACAAGCGAGAAGAGGACAAGGTGGTATGTGTGGATAGTGGTTCCAAGACACTTGACATAACATCACGCAAGAAGAGGAGGCAGATATGAGTGGGAACCAAATCCAGAGCACAGCTAAGCTCAGCTCAGCTCAGCTCACCAAACGCAGAGTTGAGAAGAGAATCCTGAAAAGGCACAAAACCAGGTTAGAAGGCAGTGATGCAGATTCCCATAGCCCATCACCAGTCTACAATAGGAACAGAGGAAGAAGATTTCGCGGAAGCGAACGCCGGAGTTACTGTTACCATCAGACCAAAGATCCAAAGACAAGAATCCAAAGGGTTCCTACGACCACAAAGATCTCTGGAATAGTGCAGAGGGCAAGAAAGCGAGTTGCAAGGAAGAGAAGAAAAGACAAGACCGATAGTATCGAGTCTCGTTCTCTTAGCAAATCAGAGGAGGCGGCATCGGTTTCAGAGAGAACTGGAGAGACATCGAGAGGTCACACCTTTTCCCATGGCCGTCTCCCTCAGGCCTCAGGCTTCAGGCTCTGGTGACCAAGTCCACGGCCAGGCGGAGCAGTGAGGGGTGGGGAAGCGAAACGATGCGATGCCCTCTGGAGATTCCTCCTACGTCCGACGATCACGAAGAAGCCTTTTTCTCCCAACTAAGCAACTGTTGCGAGTGTGAACTTTCTACAGTTGAGTCGGCCTCTCGCCTCCTCGTGTCTTCTTCTGCTCAGTGAGCTCTCCTTATGCGTGCAGAGCAAACACTGCTGCCATCTTTGGGACGCATACAGACACGAAGCGCTTTGTCAAGGGTACCACCAAGAGACGGAAAAGAGATTTGGAGATCCATATAAGAAAGAGAGAGGGAGAGAGAGAGGGTGTGTGTGTGTGGGTGAGCGTAAGAGCTAAAGCTTGGCTGCATTTATAGCTCAGGGTAGAGAGAGAGAGAGAGAGAGAGAGAATCGATGCAATGATGCCAAGAAGCAGGCAGCCCTTTCTTCTTCCTCCCATTATGCAACGCAATGATGCAACCATTATGTCTGCAACTCATTCCGAATCGTAACATCACATGCTCTTCGTTCGTTTCATGCACGCCATTTTCCATCCCCTCGTTAGGTCACGGATCTTCTACAACACTTGACATACTTGGTTAATTTTTGTGGATCAGTAAGATCACAGGCGTGTTTAGGGCACGACCGCATGTGTGTTCTTCGACGTTTGGAGCCCTCACAGTCGAGCTCGTACGAAGTTACATCGTTCGTACCGCTCGAAACATGGTACAACGTTGACTTGACACTGTGGCAACACCATAGTCCCTCCCTGTTTGAGAATAATTTCCTGACTTCTCTCTCTTGTTCGGCAGATGCATCCGATGTGACGATGAACTAAGTTCCGAATTTGCAAGAAATCTGTGGTCAGCATCAGTGTAATTGAGAACGAGGGGGAGGGAGGCATCATTCGGTGTTTAGAAGCAGATCTCTGTTATCGGGGGGCGATGGATGGCGGTGAAATCATGGGCATCTCGATCAGCTGTGGCTGTGGCTGTGGCTGTGGCTGTGGCTGTGGAGTTCCCTCTCCCCTCTCCCTGGAGACACGCAACTTACCGACGAGGCTACATGTACCAAAGATTCCTGCCGGTGGTAGCTCTCTCATCAGCAGGCATGCTGGCGACAGATGTCAGACAAAAGTCAGCAGAGGATTCGAAGCTTTCGCATCATCCGCACTGGAAGAAGAATAATATTTGGGGTGGGTCACTCGCACCCCTCGATGTTCCTACCTGCGAGTAGCATCGAGGATGTTTTCCTCCTTTGCGCTACTCGTAAATGCTCGTCGGTGAAGAAGAACTCTGTTTTGCTTTGGGGGTTCAAAGATGATGGCGCTGCTTGCTTTCGTTGCCGTTCCCCAACACCTCCTTCATGGATTCATCTGCATACGCATCCATCATCTACAAGAAAATGATCAAGAGGCATCATCATCTATCCCTGCGGTGCCACACCACCATGTGCTTCGACTGCGGGAATTGAGTTATTAGCAATCAAATGTATCATACGACCTGTCGATTCCTACGGTTGGTGGTTATTCGGTCCCACAAGTCTGTGTCTGTGGTGATACAAGAGAGAAGAAAGAATCACATGGGAAATGGCATCAGACCGATGATGATTAGGGAGGGAAGACAATAGTGAAATGGGGTGGGTAATCTTTGGACATCAACAGCCGACACAGAACAAACAAAAATTGATGGATCACAAAACGATCGAGTCGGCTGATCCGAGCTCAACAACATTTGCATAGACTGCTGTTGGATCATGCTTTGAATATCAATCCCAACATGATAAAACCCAAAAGTGCCATCATTAGACATTAACAGCCATGTCCAGACACAAATTTCTGCAACCACAGTATGTCCAGCAAAGAAAATTGTACTCTTACCATTCGACAAAAAAAAGAATACCCTATTGGCAAAAGCAAGAAAGTAGAGAGAACGGTCACAAGCACACGGCAGAGCAGCAATTTCGGTGAAAAATATAGCAGCAACATCTCCTTGATGACCACAAACAGCCTTCCCATCTCCTTCCTTTCGACGCAATATCTAAGCTTTTACCCGTACCACAAATGAACCTGTTGTCGGTCAAAAACCAAAAAGAAACATCTCTTGTGATGGCATGGGGCTAGCTTATCACCTGGAATATAACCTACGCGAAATGCTTTATCTTACAAAAAAAAAAAAGAGACTTACATGCAGGAAGGTTGGATATATCGGCGGAAACGGCACAGGGAATTCCCAAATTCGATAGGGCTCCCCTTATGATTCCACATGGGAAATATAGATGCATGCTTGTGGCCTCAGCAGCTTTGTTTTCGGGTGTCACAACTGAAGAGTCCTGAGATGCTTCACTGATATCCAATGATGGATCAATTGATACACGCGTAAGCCAACGGAATCTATTATCTTGCAGCACAAAGGTTCCCTGCACAATGTCAATATGATGTTATTAAATTACAAAAGAGATGTTTCCCAGGTTCTTAATCTTCCTTAATATATTACTCTGTGGTTGGTCTTCAGGTTATCAATCTGCTTCTTGAACAGCTCCGACCAGAAATCCTTGCATATAAATTTGATTGCCTCTAGATGATCGCTGAATCGAGGGCGCTCCACAGTGTACCTGCACAAAGACAATGAGTGCACAGTAGAACATGAAACCCCTTGGGCTGAAATGTACCACATGAAATATCAGAACATCAATGTCAGAACTAGAATAGCAAAAACCTTTATTTCACGGTACTATCTCAATACAATACAAAATATCATGCTAACTAGAAACAATGATGGCTTGCAAAAATCATTGCTTTGATGTACAGTGAGTTACTGTCGTCATATGGTATTGAATTGAAGGTATATTCCATGCTTATGATGTTCGGACAACCTTGGATAAGCAAATTGTTTATCAATTTACAAGGACCTTGTGTCGTACTGGACTGACCAACACATATATTGCCAGCATGTTACCAGCATAGAGTATGTTGCCCATAATCAAATCATGGCCGCATAAATATGCAGTAGAGTCAATTCTAGCACAGTTAACAAATTACCATGCTTGTATGGAGTATATTCACCGTGTATATGATTCAAGTAACAATTAATCAAAAGTCATGCAAGTACCTCGGTCATGTGTGTTCAGGCCAAACATGAGACTCTGCAATTCATACTCAATTAGCTGATTAAATCAAGGTTATAAAGCTAGGTATTAGCACTTGGATGTTAGCTCAATCAACGCAAGTACAAAGAAGTTCTAACTTCTAACTTAATTATCAGAAATATAGTCTTAATCAATCATGGTTCACATTATTTAGGAATTCATATGATCTTCTGGCACTGCTGCTTAAATTGGCAGCAGAGGCCCTGCCACCGTGAGTTTATTCGGATGAGAAACCACTAGTTTACTGTGTAACTTACTTGCACTACTATGGATGACTTGAAGTTAAAGAGTGACTTAATGTAGCACGAACCCTATTATGAAACAGCGATCTCATGTACGATTTCTGCAACTTGGCTGGGATCCCATCTATTGTCTCTTATTTCTTACCATCTTCACCTTTAGCAATAAGCTGTTCCCAATAGATTTTAAATCAGTTCAATCGAAGTTTATTTCTTCATATTAAATAATTTTTTACTTGATAAGACTTGTCAAAAATAAGTTCTAGTCTGACAGATTGGGACCTCACTCGGTGATCTCCAGACTGATAATATCTTACTGAAAACACGCATGGGATGTTCATAGCTGAGTGATGTACATTATTGGGATGTTCACATGTAGTGGTTCGTTGGCGATGTATGCAGAAACACACTTCAAAATTTTCAAGAATTCAACCCATTAAGTGCACACACAAATTTCCAACATAAAAAAAATTCTCGCTAGGCACATGATTAAGATGGATTTATCTCCAAGATAACAATCAAACCTGTAAACTAACAAGGGCATCCAGCTGCAACTTAAACTGAAAGAAAATAAATTCTAGAAAATGGTTATCTAGCAATAGAACATTTCTATTATATCAAAAGACAAGCTACTAAGGATAGTCTTGGACTCTACTCTTTGCTATGACCATCAGAAATATAAAGATGAAAGTTGACAAAATTATAATGCAGGGATGCTGAGAATGTTGTGCATTGGCAACAATCACGGCCAGGTTTGGAACAAATATAATAATCATCAACCGTAACTCAATCTGATACGGAAGATATTAAATTATCCGTTCCCCAGAAAGTGGGATCTCTGTCCTATTTCTGGTTTCTATAGTTTCGTTCTAAACTGACAAAAAAGACTAACACGAATTATCCTCAATTGGGATCTACAGTCAAAAGGAAGCAATAAGGGCTAATAAGAGCCATCATAGTAAATTTCTAAATATTCCCAACAAATCCAAATCAGGCCCAGTTGCAAATGCAGCGGAATCTAGAATCCATGCTACAGATCCTCGGGTGGCTAACCATCAAGGCTATAGCTTCCAGTCAAATTCCAAATGCCAATTTTATCCCATACTTGCTTGAATTGCAACTATCTCAACAATCTTCCTGAAAAGAACGTTCTCGAACCCTAGTTTGCGGTGAAGTTTTACCCGATCGATACAAGACTAACAGGGCCAGGAAGCCCGCGCATGAAAAGATCTGAAGAGAGAGAATGGGATGCAGGCAGAAGAGAAAGGGGGAAAGGCGGAGGGCAACCTCTCGATGAGCTGGTGGCCGACCTGGTACCCGATCGCCTCGATCCGGCGGGCGGCGAGCTCCGGCTTGGTGGCGTAGAACCGCTTGCAGTAAGCCGACACCATCTCGATGATCACGCCGTCGATGCAGCTCTCTGCCACCTCCCTTCCCATCCTCCGCCCTCCTCTCTTTCTCCCCTTCTTCTTCGCCTTTTATCCCTCTCTCTAATTTCTCCTCTGTGATGAGGATCGCTAGCGAGAACCATTTTCAACTCTGCCTTTGCCCCATACTAAGCGGGAGCTTCCAATGAGACAATGACACGTGTAGACGTTCGCACTTAATCCTTCTCTTTATATATATATATATATATATATATATATATATATATATATATATATATATATATATATATATATATATACGCGCGAATATTTTATTATGTTTTTCAATGAACGTTATTGAATCACACTATAAGCGATATCATAATACCATTTAAAACTGACAAGAGAGTATCACAAAGAAAAGAAAAAGAAAAAGAGAAATAATAACATTACTCGAAGGAGGAGGGAGAATGCCAGCACTCACCTTTTAGACTGGTTAAAATCTTATCTTGTTCGATGATAGGAAACAGAACAATCTGGTTCTATTGAATGCTGGTTTGAGGTATCCCTGTAGAGCAACTGGAACTGTTTGGCACATCATGGGACAGATGCAGAGAACAGTTGGTATATTACTCACACAAACTAATGCAACAACCACTTGCAACATTGTCTTCTCGAACACAGAAATCTATGCTTTGTTAAAACTGAAATAGGAAAAAAGAAATAAAGAACTTTAGCTTTGAAGAATAACCTGAAAATATCTGATTTGTTTGCTAAATAAGATATTAGAATCACAAGCAAAGGTGCTCCAATTCTCATCAAAATCACCTATTTTGCATGTACCGCCTTCCAGGTACTTTGTATGGCACCTTGTGCTCACAAACCAGCAGGAAATGAGAGATTACTCATTTAGATACTTCCAAAACGAGAGGAACAAAGAACAACATGGAAAAGAAACTAATAGAACATCAACACACACAAGCATAATTGCACAAGACAATCTCATAAAAATGTTGCTCATGGGTACATGCTGGCCATCCAATGTGCAAACATGTAAAGCAGGAACATGGGCACAAGACAATCTTATAATGCACTTGCTGAACGACTCAAATTTAATAATTTATATTGAAGATAGAAGGCCAAATATGGGCTGTCCATCAATATGTAAATCGTTATCTCATTAAAGCAACTAATGACAAATTACAAAGTCTGACCCATCAACCAATTTCTTGTGTCTTAAGATGAGTATTTTGATATGAGCTTGTCGACATGAACGATTATATCATCAATCTTCGGTCGCACTGCTGGTTGAGGCTGTAACATCCATACTATAAACTGATGAAGACTCTCGGGGTAAGGAGGATCCGGCCCAGATGGCCATTTTATCTGTGCATTCATAACAGCTAACTGTAGGCTCCCTCCTGATTCACCAATTGCATATTCAAATGGCGATGCTCCATACCTGTCAAAAACCAATAGAAGATATCAACGATTTTAAATAACAGTAAGAAGGAATGATTTTCTCTCGATCAGTGGAATTTGGTGCATAGAATTTCATTTCTCTTAAAGAACATGCATACATGGTTTGGCAAAGGTTTGAATATTTGCACCACGAGACTTACTAGGCAAAGCCACACAGAACATACATAGATCTTCTGATCGGGAAACACTCAGCAACAGTTTACTTGGAGTCCTTCACAGGAACTAGTAAATCAACTCTACCATTGTATGCTTCTCAAAAACAATCAGGCTTCAACAAACTACAACTCACAAGACTTCTCTCGTATTCAATTCCCTATATATGGGAAAATAAGTAAAAAAGAAACTAGGACCGAAGAAAAAGCCACTTGACTATACATAAGATCTAATACGATACAAATTCTAGCCATCAGCAATTCTAGAATCGATATTAACTTAGACCTCAGAATCAAGGTTTGTAAGAAATTACAACTAGGACTTGACATTAACTTTGATCCATGTCTGACACATACCCAGCAATCATATTCAGAAATACAGTACTATTTTCATGATATGAATTTGATAATCTTCTTTGGTACAAATATCAGTACTGAGGCAATTTTCGTAGGCAAAAATCAGAAGTTAGAACAAATACCATGTGAATCACAAAAAAAGGTATGGGATGTTACCTAACACAAATTAAAGAGAAGCATTGCACGGTGATCAACAAGACAAGTACACAATGTCCAAACATAGCAAGGAAAGGTATAAAATTCTCACATTATTGCATATAAAGTACATCCGAGAGACCATATATCAGTCCTCTCATCAATATCAGCATGACTCGGACAGTCCCACAATTCAGGAGCTCGAAAAGGTGCAGAGCAGTGCTCGCTAGCCCAATCCTATGCAATAATTCATCAAATGAGTTAATAACATGTCTAAGACTTCATCTGTTCATGGAACAGCAGCTTTTTTACGTTAAAGAAATTAATTTAGTAGAAGTTGGAGTGATGGTTTCTTCTTTCCATTTTGGACACTTCATTGTTTAGTTTTGATTTACATACAAAAAACATGAATATTTTTAATAAACCAATATTATTCTATAGTAAAAAGATTGACTAATACCTGTAGCTGTAATGCCTCTGACCTTGAACGGATTTCTTTTCTTGCAGGGCGAGCGCTTCCAAAATCCATTAAAATAGCACCAGGTGGTTGTCCCTTCCTATGTGTAATGAGTACATTTCCAGGTTTCACATCATTATGAGCATACGGAGGATCAAAGCTGTGCATGTGCTTAAGACCAGCACAAAGCTGTATATAAACAAAAAGTAGCATGTCATTCTAGAACACATACATGTTCAGAAAGTTAAATCACTAAAAATGTCCTTGAATGGAAGAACAGAAAATAATGCAGGCATGTTCAGATGACAGCTACCTTAAATAAGTACTTCAAATGAACCTATACCAGTACATTCACTACAACAGAATGTCATAATTTTTATAAAGATAAATCAGTAACAATTCTCTTATCATGAATCTCTTGTATATTTTTACTTAATAGGAATGACCTCTTTACTATTTCTAGCATCTGATTGAGCTGAATCTCAACTCAGAACAGGTTGTCACAAATTTGTCAAGTAGATGCTACAAAGCTTCATGAAGAATGATACTCCAGTCAAAGGCATTTGTTGCATCATGCTCCACTTGACATAATTATAATAATCAAATGTCAAGTGAGTGTTAAAATGAATAACATCAGGAAATCAGATGGTAATGCAGATAACTGAAGGCTGAGTTCCAGCAGTGACACTAGATTGTACTTCGGAACTAGGAAGAAAGAAACAACTATCAACTATTGCAAGCAAATTTATCAGCTTCAACAACTACTAAATGCTTTCGGACTATATATAAAGAGGATAACAAGTGCAGGAGAAAAAAACTGAAGTCATATCTAGGTAGAGCTAATCGGTGGGTGCATGAAAATAACTGAAAAAACATTATGAGCACGACAGAAAAATCTGAATCAGAGCAGCAAAGAAAGACGACATTTTCAGACACAGTACCCATTGCTTTCAACCTGATGATTACAATGAAACATGTCCATCATGATCAATCCTTTGTCTTTGACAATAAATTGGCATGACTGATAAGAACATCATTTATCAAGCAGATTAAAGAATTTTCATTACTCTATTGTCGTCTCATAATGTATATTCCATGGCATTCCATAAAAGATCATAATATTGAACACCATAAAACTTATGTTACCTTCATAGTTTTATTGTTTTCATCTTTATAGCGTCAAAAAATTGCAGAGCATTATAAATTTGCTGACAGAACTCCTAAGCATGACAAGGTGACAGCCCCTGTTTGTATATTGTCTCCACTTGGAAATGGAAGTGGCATACCATCTGAACTCGTTATGAGCTAAATCATTATAGATATAATACAGAAGGAACAAACTAATAAACCTAGCACCTTAGAGTTTACTAAGAAAATGTCTGACAAAAAGAAATTAAATAATGAAATTGCAAATCAGTTCTTATAAATTATTAACCTCCACATGGTACGTAAATTCAGAACCACAGAATCTAATACAAGAAGAAATAATGTACCTGTCTGAAAATCTGAAGAACAGTAGTTGTTGTAAAAAATTCCTTCTTTGATTGCATGACTTTGGCTATGTCAAGTAAAGTTCCATCTAGATGAACTGGGAACAATAAGTAAGCTTCATGTTTCCGTGATCCGTCTTGCGTGCCCTATGCACAAATATAAGATAAGTCAATCGGCTCATTTGATGGAAGATTCCAGCATAAATGTAAACAAATACATGTAATCGTCTTTGCGACAAGTTGTCCTTCTTAGTGTTTCACTACCAAAATTCAAGTAATTGTCTCGTATCACTATCGTATGACAATAAAATATACATCTAGTGCTAGGGACTTGTTCACACTTGAAGAGTTTGGCAAGCGTGTGAAGTTTCATTCTAAACCATATTTCACATAATCGCAGTTCTGGTAATGCAATACGTAGTACATGGTGTATCAGTATGATGCTAGAGATTGATTAGATGATCTATAAACCAAAAAGTTTATTTCAATGTAGAAATACGTTCATCCACAGAACAAAATCAATATAATTCGTCCGTGGTATTAAGATAATTTGCAGATCTAGCTAGAGTAACAACACCAGATGATTCAAACGAGGCAGTTCGACATAAATACAACTGAAGTACCTTGACAGGAATGACTACATGATCGAGGAGGGGAAGCAAATTAGGATGATTGAACAGGGAGGAGACACGGATCTCCTGCTTAACCAACTCCAACTGCTCCTCTGTTTGTATGATGACTTTCTTCATCGCATATGTTCCATGATCTGAAGAAAAGTAAGAATCAAAATAGAATCAGCCCATACTATGTTCGCCATCAAGACCTTTCGGCGCTAGGAATGGAGCGGTAGTAAAGCAATTCAAAGAAGCTTGGAAACGGTTGTTTCCAAAGCATTTGATCAGCCATCGTGCGCCTTACATAAAATTCCGGACGACAAACGAAACAGCAACGCAATTCATCAATACAGATCCAAGGAACGATTGTGACAGGCGAATCTAATGGAACTCGAGATCAATTGGGCGGAATCCAAATCAACATTGGAAAATTTGACAAAAACAAGAGCAGTCCGATCGGATCTAGAGCGGGAGACCTGAGATGTGGGAGGGATCGATGGACTTGTTGCGGGCGAGGCCAGCGGCGCCATCGGCGACGACCTCTTTAACGAGGAAGACGTAGGCGAAGCCGCCCTCGCCGAGCTGCCTGACGATCCGGAAGCGGTTCTCGTTGATCCAAACGTCTCCGCCCCCGTTGACGGCGTCATAGAAGGCGTTCAGACCCGAGAAGGAGCATCCCATGTTGGTGTCGCTCACCTCCTCCTTCCCCTCTCCCTCCCACTTTCTTTCTTTCTCTCTTTTCCTATGGTTTATGAATCTTCGTGTCGGTCGCCTTCCTATTATTGCTCCTCAAGGAGAGGGCATCGTTTCTCCCTCCCTCCCTCCCTCGCTCTCTCTCTCTCTCTCTCTCTCTCACTGTCTCTCAAACATGCAATCCTACCAAAAAAAAAGAATTAACTGTTTTACTCTGTGGAATCAGATTTGTCCTAAAATGTTTCTTATTTCTTAAAAATCATTAGAAATAATGTATATGTCATGAAATTTGGATATATATATATAAATATATATATATATGTCTGAATATATATATATATAATAAATAATAATCTCTGTGTTATTAATCTAATGAGGCCTCCTCGGTTGGGCCTCAAATGGTGGAATGTGATATCCAACTTGGCGTCGACCTTTGGCGTAAACAACCCCACCATAATGTCTCGACTATTCGATATCCAACTTGATGTCATGTGAAACGGCTCATGTGATTCTCGAGGTGTTGACTTATCAGCTGATCATCGTCAAACGAAGCCTACCAAATTCGCAAGTCAAACTTTCAGCGCTAACAGTGAAACATCGGACGGACTAAGGAGTAGCGAAATCTTCCGATTCTGGCTTTGTTGGCGATGGAGATTGATGCGACTGCTTAGCTGCAGTTTGGACCAATACACCATCTATGCTACTCGACTTGTGGTGTTTAGCTACACAGATTCGTGGCTAAGAAACATTCAATCTACTGAGATTGAATTCCTATGCTTCTTCTGTTGCTCGATTCTCTTCTTTTGATGCTGTAGCCAAATGAGAGACGGGACAAATCGGTGTGTACACCGCAGCAGCTTATTTGGGGATTTGTTTCTGTTTTGTTTTACCTTTCGCTAGAACAGAATCAACATAGAGTTATTTGCTTTCCTTTCAAAAAAGAAAAATGCATTGAGATCTCAGTATCTGTCTCTTAAGTTCCAGCATGAATGAGCATATCGAACCTATATAATCACTTATTGCAGCAACCCAGCTTTGTGCCGTCGACGATGCTGTACACCTATCTTGGTGGGCGCCAAACAAACATCAGCTCATTTGGCGAGCTTCAGATCTCGGAAGAGAATTAATTGTAGACTCCATGTTCGAGCTGTGCATGATCACATCTACGTTTAGCACTTTCCATTTCATGATTGAATTAAATCACTTTGATACACACGTTTAGAACTCAGCCAAGAACCAATACACCCATCACAAATTAATCAGCTCTCTCTCTCTCTCTCTCTATATATATATATATACTGTACAAATTCCTCATATACCAAGCTAAAGATATTTGATCTTCTTCATAATTCGGTCACCTTGGTCCCGAGAGCTCCATCGCTTCCACCAGCAACGAGTCATCAGTGAGATCAGAGTATCGTTCCGAGGAGAACTCAGGCACCCTAAACTTATGAACCTCTGTCCTCTGAGACGCTTCCCATCTCTCCGCAAGGCCATCACCTTCAAGCATGCGAACCACCTCAGACATTTTGGGCCTGTGTCCCGGGACATACTGAGTGCACAAGAGCGCAACTTGGACCATCTCTTCCAGCTCTATCCTGTCGTAGTTCTTCAGGTCCTTGTCGACAAGCACATCGAGCTTCTTTTCTTGGTGCATCTTCCTCACCTGATTGAATAACCAACAAGAAACATCCTAGTAAATGACAAGAACCATGTACGAAGAAAGCATCATGTCATTTGACCTCCGTGTTGTGCATACCCAGTCAAGCATGGCACCCTTCTGTTTTGCCGCTTTTCCATATTCCAGAGCTCTCAAGCCAGTAATCAGTTCGAGAAGAAGAATTCCGAATCCGAAAACATCAGTTTTATCGGAAGACTGCCCCGTTGAGAGATACTCGGGAGCTATATGTCCCACGGTTCCCCTCACAGCAGTAGTCACATGTGTATCCCTGTGATCTAGAAGTTTTGCTAGCCCAAAGTCTCCTACAACAGCCTCACAGTAGTCATCCAGCAATATGTTAGCGGCCTTTACATCTCTGTGAATGATCTTGGGATCACACTGTTCATGTAGGTACAGTAATCCCCTTGCAGCTCCCAAGGCTATTCTTTTCCTGGTACTCCAATCTAATGCTGGTATTTCTGCACACAATGTGGAAAATAAAAAAGATTCAGTCTCTTGTCATGTGTTCAGCATGCTAAAGCCTCTATGCTACTAGAAAAGATCAATGATATCATTGTCAAACTCCGAAGAGCCTTCTGAATCATTTTATGTGATTGTATCCAGAAATAGTAAGATAGCTGTGTGACCTCATGTTTTGTTTAGAACCTCTATATTCATACAATTTTTGCTGCAGAATACAAATGCCTACCAAGCTCATATAACCATAGTAAATTTTAAGTAACATAATTTAGTTAAATGATTGAATAGCTGTCTATATTCCTATTTATCCATACTAAAACCACCAAAAAGGGTGTGATATTATCTACATCTATAACATCTAATCTTGCTTCGTGGTTAATTAGTTTGTACACAAGCAACAGAAAATTTTACATCACATCTCAAATTCCTAAAATAATTTATTCCCCAAAAAACTGGCTTTGTGTGCTGCACACAAATTACCAATGGCATAATGCATATAGTTTTCATCTTCAAGAAGAAAACCTAAATTATCACCTCTGAGTCGAGAAGCAACACTTCCATTTGACATGTATGGGTAAACCAGAAGCCTTTCTGTCGCAGTCATGCAGAATCCACACAGCCTAAGAAGGTGTCTGTGCAGAGCTAAGCTTATCATTTCAACTTCAGTTTTGAACTGGATCTCTCCGCCCGCTACATTCCCATCCTTCAGTCTTTTAACAGCTACCAAGGTTCCATCTTGTAGCTGACCCTTGTAGACATTTCCAAAGCCACCTTTGCCAAGCAGGTTTTTACTGCTAAAGTTGTTTGTAGCAACCTGAAGCTCCCTGAACTGGAATCTTCTCAGGTTACCGAGGCAGACTTCTTCCTTATGTTGGTCTGAAAAATGATATGGTGGTTACGACAAGTAAATGATCAAAGATAACACAAACTCACCGATGATGCAGGTATTGGTTTATAAGCCAGAGAACACGATGTTGTCTTTAAATTTCACTGCGTAGTTACTTACCATTGACATCAAAGAAAATTTGTTGGTTGTGCCTTCGACTGCACCATATAAACAGCCCAACCACAAGACCAAGGAGACATATGCTTCCGAGGCTGGATGCAAGGGCGAGAGCTAGTTTGTGTCTTTTGGGCCTTCGAGACATTGGAGCACCTTAAGAGAACAAAAAATAATAGTCAGGATTCAGGAAAGGAGGTTTGCAAAATAAAATGAACCATGACATGAACCTAAAGGCTTGTTAGTTTCTTTGTCAATTCTATTTGCTCAGCAAACGAACAGGCATACAGAATTTGGTTATCTGAAACTCATTATTTCACAGTTGAAGAATACCCCATATGCTCTTTTCATGCAACAGGATGCTCTTCTTTTGCAATTTCCTTTTATTTTCAATGCAATCACAAGCTGCAGCGAACTAAACAATGTCAGTGAGTTAGCTACAGTTTGAATTTCCAGGCTGGTTTTCTGCCAAAAAAAAAGGTCCGGGCCATGAGTCTAAAAGCAAAATTAGTTCTTGAATTAGAAGGATGGAGGACAAATGGAATTCAAAAAATAACTAGTTAATGAATTAGTCTGTCTTTTGTTGAGCAAAATAAATCCATCTTGTAAACATTCCTCGTCACGGTGAATGCTATACATCCTAGAATGCAGGAGAGTAAATCCTAAAAATATGATTTCAAGAATTACTGAAAGATAAAATACTCTTTCATTTCAGCAAGTTAAGGGAAATTGGGAAGGATGGCAACAAGTACTCTTTCATTACAGCCATAAATAATTACCGAAGGAATAATTTTGTTTAGTATAAAAAGATGGAGGCACCATAAGTCAGAAGCAGTTGAACCGTGACTGTCTCTTCTATCAGTTATGCAGATTCAGAAACAAATGAATTGGAGGTTGATCCAGCAGATAAAAAATTTCATGAATCATAGCAGATGATTCAGAAGGAAAAAATGTTAGTTTTCCAAAGCCTGCTTTTGATTTCTTGTAAGTTGAGATTGGTTCTCCTGTCAAGTTCCTGTAGCAATATAGATGGCTTCCGTGTAGGCTTATTGTAAAGATCAAGCTACTAGAGATGACCAAGAAAGCTGGTGTTCAAGGGAGAACATTTAGTGATCTGGAGCAGGAAAAATGGATGAATACCATCTGGACTCTGGTATTTAGAGTCATCGAACAAACACTCGGAGCTATCGAGCTTCTTTGGCCAAGACCACTATAGGAGAATGATGAAGCAAACCCCTTTTACACATGAACAGCATAAATGAATATGTTGCAAAAAGTCATATGCCTATGGTCATGACAATTGATGTTTATGCTTCAACATAGTAACACAAATTGGTCGCTGATAAAAAATAACTAGAATTAGATTGAGAAGCTGTAGAACTTTTAGATGGAAATTTTCGTCGCAACTCGTACCCTGAGTATCATTTATATTGAAGGTACTTGGCATAGGCATCATCCCATAGCATTGGTGCTCCAAGTCAGTTGGGCATATCAAAGGATTTCCAACAATGCTGCAGGGAATGCAAAAAAGAATGTGTTAATATTAGATTATGCATTGTGGAACAAAGAAAAAGGAGAACTTTCGGAGCAGAGCATAGCATAGCATACTAATGATACCAGTAACTTATAAGCTGCACAAACATGTAGATCAATCTTAAGCCTAACAGGGGCAAAAAAAAAATGATCATCTGCCTCTTTATGTACAAATAGTAAAAGATATGAAAAATATAGAATTCGGTGACAATTTGTCACTTCAAAAATTAATATCCAAGTTTTCGAAGTTGCACCAATTCAATCGAGTTGAATCATGGTCCATAAGGAAGATTGAAGTTATCATAAAGAAATGATCCTCTGCCTCTTTATATACATAAAAATATTGATTAATTAAAAGGGTATGAGAAATCTAGAATTTACAGACAATTCTTCGCTTCAGAAATAAATGAACAAGGCTTTGAAATGGCATCCAAACAAATTGAGTCGAAGGAAGATTGGAGTTTTTCCATCGGCCACAGCTAACAAGTCTTTAAATCGACTGCTTCTACAGTTTTTGTGGCAAATGGCAGTACGAATCAGAGAAAAAGTAATCGAGATTGAACTTTCAGAAGATACAATGAATTACTAGGTCAAAATTTAAATGCATAAAAAAGCAGTGCAGCAGAAATGGAAGAGACTTACTTGAATGCTTTCGGTGGAGACTTTGGGATAGGGCCACTCAAATTATTGTACGATAGGTCCCTGAAACATAAATGCCACGAGATGCCTTCTTTGGTTACAAGCATCCATCGAAGAAACCATCTCCTCAAAGCATGCAACAGACTTACATGAAAATGAGCGGAGTGATGTCGATCAACGGCAGAGGAAATGACCCGGAAAGACTGTTGTTGTTGAGCCTCCTTCACAGTAACCGAATGCGAAACAACAAGAGTTGGTAACCCAGTGATTCGAAAGCATAGGATTTCTACTAGGCTACCTTTCTACCTTGTAAAGATTCAACTTTGTTTACGGTTCTGCACACACTTACAGGTACTGGAGGCCTTTCAAGTTGCTCAACGAAGCAGGGATCCGACCAGAGAATTTGTTGTTAGAGAGATCGAGGGTGTGAAGCTTGGACAGCTTCCCGATTTCTGGAGGTACCGGTCCTGATATGTTGTTGTTCTGCAGCAGCCTGCACAAAGACAGCAAGCTTAGGAGAAAGAGGGATCCAAGTTTGGTCGACGAATCCCAGCCATCATAAGCAACTTACACGATTTCGAGATTTGTCAGGTTTCCTATGCTTGGAGAAAGTGTACCGGATAGATCCTGGCCCGGAGTGCCTCTGTTAAAATAGCTCTCGAGCGTTATACCCTTGTCAAAGATGGGAAGAAAGAAGAGATGGTAGGAAAGCATCTGATGTCGACAAGCTCGTTGTGAAACTTACAGCCCGACGACCAGGTTCTCAGATGAGCATGTGATCATAGTCCAGCTGCATGGATCAACAGAGTCCTTGTCCCAGTTCTCAAGAACACTATGAGGATCCACAAGAGAAGCTTTGATGCCCATTAGAGCTTGCACTAAAACAGAGCACAACACATCAAATGGGAAAAAGGGAACGATCGATTCAGTCCGGTGAAAACAAAACGGAGGCAACAACATGTCATTTACGCGGTACCTTCGTAGTTGACACCTTTAGGGGAGAGCACCGCGGTCGCTGCAGCCCAGGACCAGAAGAACATCATCCAAAAGACCAAATCTTTACCCATTTTTCCTTGCATTGAACTCACAGGCTATGAAGAACAGGTAGGAGGAGTCTTTTAACAAGACGATGGGTTAGAAGGCTTGCACAGAGAGAGAGAGAGAGAGAGAGAGAGAGAGAGAGGGAGAGAATAGCTGAATGGAGAGTCAGGACGTCACATCATCGATGGGTTTCTTCATTGCATTGCCTCCCTTCTGATTGATAGCTGGCCCTTTTCCAGTCAGAAGAAAGAGGCAGCTTTGTTGCATGCGTTCCTTATGTCAGGCGCCATGACAACGTATCAACAAGGAAGACTTGATGCCTCCATACAAGAAAGCGGGTGGGAGACTGTAACTCGGTCTTGTTGGAATGGGTAGAGGATGGACAGGTGCAGAGAAAAAAAAGACAGTTTTGAGGAGTGCAAGTGGAACGGAGTATGATGCTTCAAAAAGGTGAGTAGTTCACTCGTTGGATTTTATGACAGATTAGAGAAGGCTTTTATCGTCGAATCAAGTAAGATGTGAATCGATCGATTTTAGATAACATTAAAGCAAGATGAAAAGGACAGGAGGAGTGTAATGACCTGCTTCATCACTTCTTTATCGGAGAATGAAAATGGCATCCAAAGGGTGGCGTGGGGGTGCGGTGCGCGACAGAAATGCTTTTCACCGCACAGCTATCTATCCATCTATCTATCTATCTCGATATCATAGCAATGCGATCAAAGGCATCTCTCGTGCGACAATCTTCCGTCGAGCACGAGACACCTCAACAGCCGAAGAGACGGGATCTCGAGGAGATGATGATGCGTGGGGAGAAGGAAAAGAGTGACGGGAGATGGTGTTGCTTGTTGCGCCATGGGAATCCAACGTCCGCCCGGGTCGGCCACTCTCGTCGGTCACTACTGTTGCAGAGTGGGGCCAGGAGGTGGCGCGGCCTCGATGTTCGTAGCGGGCAACAGGTGTTTGTTGGATTGCCTTGGCCTTTAAAGCGCGGAAGTGTGCGGAGGAGTACGACGCGTAGGGTGGGCATCGCTGGGAAGGATACTCCATGCCCAGGTGGTCCTCCACCTCACCACAAAATTACCACCAGTCACGACATCAATTTGATTCAGAGCGGTAAAAATAAAGCAGCAGCAGCAGTGGGTATTCAAAAGCAAAAGCTGCCACATCCCTTTCTTTTTTTAGGCCTTCCGACGTGTACGGCCGTGGTTTTCCCATAAAAAGATATTCCACTTTTTTTATTATTATTTTTACAAATAATATCTTTAATTTAAAAATATATATATATATTCATATCAAATAATTTCATTATGAGTCTTTTTGTATCATTTACGGTGTTGATTTATAGTGTTTTTATTATGATGATATACCAAAGCACTACTACAACAACAAGTAAAAATAATATAGTCAGTTTTTTTAGGAATAATTTAAATATTTTTTGAATTAAGATACATTATTATTTAGAAAACACCAAAAGGAAACGTGTTTTGAAAAAAAAAAAAAAAGGGCGATATTTTCTGGAGAATTGGCACGTAATCTTTAATATTAGTGCTCGACTTGATTCACACACGATCCGGTTAAGCCACGATAAACCCTCGAGTACTCATCAGAAGATCGCAGATCTCTTGCAGCACTGAAGCACATGTGAAACAGAAGCATGTTATCGGCAGCACCAACATGCGGACAAAACATCGCCATCGACGATGAGATCTTTGTTGGATACGAAATAAACACTCGATATAAATGATGAGTCATCTATCAACTTGACGACTTTTGTTTCCTGTTAATTAAGCCGGCACCTCCTGACTTGGGACCGACCCAATCTGCTTGCAGCCTTCATAGCCATCTCCGGTAGACTCGGGCAACGTAAGATCCCACCACTGCCTGGGAATCAAAGAATCGATCACCAGGAAAGTCAACTCTCGTATTCTCCCGCAAGCAAAAAAAGATAATTCGTTTCTTCTAAAGGAGATTCACATTCTTGTGGTATAAAGTTGATGATAAAGTTTTATACTAGAAAAGCTATCTTTTGAGACTATAAATTTAGATTGACGAGGTGGCAAGGTTTTGCTGTCTTACCAGTGTTTGCTTTCCTTCACCATCTTCGCAAAAGATGGTGAAAGGCCACCTACCTCTATCTCAAAGTAATAACACTGCCACTATGAACGAACGAGAGGCAACTGTTGGCCCTTCGACTTGTGGAGAATCATCCTTCTCTACTTTTAAACAAGAAAGGTCGCCTCAATCTCTTTTTGCTAATGGAGCACTTGCAAAGATTGCTTTGACAGACAGTGCGCGTTACCAACAAAAACATCTGACACCTAATGATGATCTTTCGGCCTTCTGATGAGGTGCTCGAATCGAAAAAGCACCGATGCTGATCATGTTCCTGCAGGTGATCCGATAGGTTAGTGCATGAAACCTAAGGATCCTTAGCGAGAGAGAGAGAGAGAGAGAGGCAGTCGATGAAAGATGGGGCCAAAACTTTTTATATGTTGGGGGATGGAAAAACGTACCCCTTGAAATCGCTCCCATAAGTGAGTGTGCTTATTAGACATGATTCCTCCGTTCCTAATGCATTATTGGAGTATGTTACTCTGGCCATTTTGTTCTCTCGGCCAAGATCAACCTCTCGACAACAGTTGAAACAAGTATACTACAAATATTAGGGCCTGCAATCGTTGTGTTCGAGAGGACTTCCAGTGTCTTTTATATCTCCGATGCAACCTATTAAAAGTATATTTTCGAATTTAGCTTGGTGGTAGTCTCATCGCTTCCTAAAACCAAGTCGCGGTTTCCAAGGTCGTTGTCTGCGTTCTGTTCTTGCGGCTCACAGGTCCTGTCTCCCAACTTTGGATTGCGCGCAAATAAGGAACCCCAAAACTGATCCAACTCCTCTTACCAAGTGGGCTGAAAGCTGATGACCTAAAGTTGGCAATTCTCTGTTACGGCAAACATAAACTCTCTTTCAAATCTCTATTTTGATCACATATACACGTAGATGCTCGATCGTCTCTCTCTTCATGGCGTACTTCCCGTTGTTAGCTCTCATGGCACTATCCTCCTTGCTTCGATCGACCACCCCTGCACCTGCCGGACTTCAACTCGGTCTCACCCACGTGGACGCCGGCAGCCCTTTCACGTTCACGGAGCGCGTCCGGCGTGCCGCGCAAAGAAGCAGGCACCGGAGGGAGGTCCTCGAAGCCAGGCTGGCCAACTCCTCCGGCGACATCCAAGTCCCGATCACGTCGTCCAAGTTCGAGTACAAGCTGGAATTCGCCATCGGCACACCGGAGCTCAACGTTACCGCCATACTCGACACCGGCAGCGAACTGGTATGGACGCAGTGCCGACCCTGCGACCCATGCGTGCAGCAGAGCACCCCCGTTTATGACCCCTCCGATTCATCCTCCTTCTCCCGGCTTCCTTGCACCAGTCCCTTGTACGATTACCAAGTCTTCAAGCGCTTCGATCCACCAACGTGCCACTATGCCTACGGCTATGGCTCGGGGGCCACTCAGGGCGTTCTGGCCATGGAGACGTTCACATTTGGCACGAAATCTGTGTCCAACGTTACCTTCGGCTGCAGCAGGCAAAGCAAAGGCAACTTCGCAGGAACGTCCGGCATCGTTGGGTTTGGCCGAGGAAATCTATCGCTGATATCGCAACTCGGTTTCCGCAAATTCTCTTACTGCCTCACTTCATTCAACAGTTCAAGCAGCAGCCATCTTCGGCTTGGGTCTCTTGCGACCCTGAATGGTACCGCAAGTAAAGTTCGATCCACGCCTTTCCTGGATGACACCAATCTATACCGCGTCTCTTTACGAGGGATATCGCTGGGTGAGGCCCTCTTGCCAATTCCGAACGCCACCTTTGAGTACAGAAGAGACGAGCTTAGTGGTACGGTGATAGACTCCGGCACGGGCCAGACGCAGTTGCCCAAGCCCGTGTACGAGATCGTCAAGCAAAACATCAAGTCTCTCGTTGGCCTACCCGTGGTTGACCTGTCGTCGACCATCGGGCTTGACCTCTGCTTCTCAGTCTCGTCATGGCCGCCGCCGCCGGTGCCGGACATGACGTTCCACTTTGACAATGCCGATATGACGATACCGCCGGCGAACTACATGTACCCCGACCAAAACGCCGGCGCGTTCTGCTTAGTGATGCAGAGGTCCGAAAGCAACTTGACGATCGTCGGCAACTACCAGCAGCAGAACATGCATGTAGTCTACGATGTTGCAGGAAGAACGCTGTCCTTCATGCCAGCCCGATGTGAAGACTTGTAAATCATGGCTTTTCAAGTATGCCTCATCGTGAAAGAAATTTGAAATAGTGAAGATTTCGTTCTTGTCAATGTAACACATGTTATGAGGATGACATCATTAGCAAGCGCTCAAATTCATCGTCCGAGTTCTGTATATTTTTCTTGTCTGTTTCCGAAGCGCCGCTACGATTCCCCAAGAGATTTCGGACGAGTCTCTTGATGTGTCAATAACGAAAAGGTGGTGAGCGACGCAGCAGGAGTCGTTGTCGGGGACGGAGAGGCGGTGGTCGACGGAGAAGGATCTCATGGTGGAGGCGCGCCGTTGTCTGCCTCCTCAGTTAGCTGCTTTGAGAACCGTGCAAGGAGAAACATAATTCTATTATTGTATCACAGAGCATTGCCTTTCCAGGGTTAATTTTCTAGCTGACTTGAAGGCTTGACGCCATCTTCTTCTCTCTAAAAGAACAACAAAAACACCATATAAATTATGACAGCCGCTAAGAGAGGAGTGGCATTTGTATCGGTCGATGGATTAGGAGACGTACGATCCCAAGTGGCAAATACTCCCGACTCGGATGCTATAACTTCAGCTGGCGCCGATGGTCTCACGGACCTCATCGAAGCAGGCTTGGGTTGTCGGAGCAACACCGTGCGACTCTCTATACTGGGCTATGATCAAAGGATATTATATATATATATATATATATATATATATATATAAGAAAAGCTGAATTTTAATGACCGGTGCTTTGGATTGATTCAAGCAAGAGAAGTCATGCTGGAAAAACTTGAGTCCATGGTTCAGCTGAGTAAATTGTTGAGGGCTCATTTGTGAGCCACAGAAATGTGAAAGCAAAATTCCTTTCTGGCAGAGATAGCTTCAGATCCCATTCACAGTTGAAGATCTCTGCTGCACCGCGGGCGTAATATTTGTGAACCTTGTTGTGATCATGAGACTCTTATGGGAAGTAACCTCAGGGAAGAAGTGTTGGTGAAGTAACTTGGAAGTAACAAATCTCTGATCATTCTAGCCCTATAAGCAGCAGAATAGCACTGCTCCCACTTAGAACACAGTGAGGAATGGACTATCATCGTGTGTTACTACAGATGATGCATGCACTCACAATCAAGGAGATGATAAACTCGAATACGCTTCATTGCAGGAGTCGTCCTCCTTTCTACTTATTTTTTCATCGTCGAGCTCGGTGGTCATCGTTGCCCAAATCTTTCACTAGGCATCATATCTTCCCACTAAATGCTAATCAGAGGCACTCACGATGTCCATCTGCTTTGATATGGATGCCACTAAAAGTGGGTCTTCGAAGGTGATAAGGTCGAGATAGGGCTAGATATCTTCAGAGGAAAGTCAAGCCTCGATGGATATTGTATAAGTTGGGAACTACAGAAGAGAAGAGTTGCCTTTCAAAGTGACATAATAAACAAACTGGGGATTCTTTCTTGCAAACTCTATCTTAGATTCTGTCAAAAGAAAAAGCCAGTTCGATGAGAGTGGTTTATGATTGATGTCTCGGTCCTTTGGTGTATTCCATGGAATACTGTGCATCGGGTGATTCTTCGGATGGTTTAACCACGGTTAAGTAACTAGACTTTAAGGGAATCCTGATACGTTAGAAGACCTTCATCGTGCTTCGACGGAGCTCGGAAGACTTTTCACCTACCCAATATTAATTCCATGCAAAACAGGGTAGAAGTAGCACAAAACTAGGGACTACGGAATATATGTAGGAGCTGCACGATGGTATCGCTTCCAATGATAGCCAGCACAAAGTAGTCCCTCGATGACTAAAGGAAAAGAGCAAGAAGCATCCTTTCTCAGCAGGAATGGCTCTCCGCCGTCCAAATCGCTGCTCCACGGTGTGCCAGCCACGGAGATAGATGAACCCTCGGTTAGGCCTGCAAAAGAAGGTGAATCTTTTTGTCCATCGTCGACCTTTTGTTTTGATGCCTCTCTTAGGAAGCCGGAGCTGATCCCAGGGTTCATTCCATTATATATGGGATGCACAAAAGAAAGGGAAAGGGAAAGGAAAAGGAAAAGGAAAAGTTGCTCGGGTACATCGTGCAGCAACTACATTAAAAGTCGTGCGGCACCGGAACCGGAACTGGCACTGGCGCATGTAGTTTTTGGCCGCAAAACAAAGGGAATAATGCATCTGTGCAGATAGCAAGTCTATGATCGTGATGCAAGAAGGAGAAGTGTGGGAAGCGGACACCAGGTCCAGGTGCGTTGCAGAGAGGAAAGAGAGGTGAAGTGGAGGACCCCATGTGTTCCAGAAGTCTAAGTTTTCTGCACTCCGACTGATGAAGACTTGCAGGCTTCCGCAACCATCAACGTGGACGTATGTGAGCATCACCTTTTCATCTGTGGCTGTCATCAGACAGAGGCTCGGATGTTGCCATCGGAAGCTTTCATCAGAGATGAAAAGGCATGCATCTTTCGCATCGAAGAAAGAGTAGCACAAGTGATCCTCCTTCCATACCTCGCACATCAGCTAGTATTCATTCTTCATGTCAAAATCCTTGAACCGGGCAGGGCCAGAATGGGTTCCATACCAACAACGGTGGAGATATCGCTGAACGGTAGGTACGACTTCTCATAAAAAGATCAGACAGAGGTCCGAGAATTGGAGAGGTCAAAATCTTCATCGCATCCGGAGACCGATATGACTGACTACTCTTAAAGCTCAATTTGCCACCTCTCGGGCAGGAGGAGTTCTCCGACGCTAATGCAGTATAAGACACGTTTTACAGAAGCGGATTACAGCCGACGGCCATTGTTGCCTTTTATGCCTGTGGATGATCTGGTAACAAACAAAAATCGATGAGCGGAGGTCTCGCAAGAGTAGACTTCCCGCATGGCTGCAGAAAAATATGTACGGTCCTATGCGACTAAGGAGAAAGACAAGCAAGGAAAGATGAAGAACATGCTTAACATGCTCGGGATGGATTCCTTCAGAATAGGAATCACAAGATGATATGAATCGGACGCAATTCATAATAGCCATTCAATAGAAAGACTGAATGATGTGAATTGGCATATGGGACTGTGACCGATGCACCTCGCCCCTCGTTCTAAGTTTCTGCATGTCCGTAATGTATATTGTGAATTTTTAGGATCAGTACATTCTACTCCGAATCATTCATGGTTGATTTGACCCACTTTCCTTTCCTATGCTCCCACTCTCACTTGTGGATTGATTGGTTGCTGTCGTCGAAAGCAGTCCCTCTATGTGCAGAGTAATTGAACTGGTGGTGGCCCTGTGCGTTCGAATGCTTCGAGGAGTGTGTGTTGGTCTTGCATGTAGCATCATCATACACGAAGGTCAATTTTTTGTCATGTAAATATAGTTGTGCAAGTTTCTTAAGATCGATAGTCGGGAACTTGTGTTGGATCACAATCTTTTTTGGATCGAAACTATGATTAGCTTTCTTCCTTTGGGGTCGCTTTTTGGGTTGACAGAGAAATCGGAAAAGAAGGAAGGCATACAATCTTCCTTGCAACCCCTACGCCAAGTCGTTTTATTTCTGAACCACAATGTGAGGCAGTGAATTGGAAAATGTCGCTGAAAACATCATTGGATAAGACAAAGAATACGATGAAACACGAAGCAACAAAGTTGATGATAGCTGAGAAAATGGAAACACGATAACATGAAAAATGGCCACCATTACTTCCCATCCATTTAAACTCTTCCTGCAAAGATGGAGAAGACTAGTTGTTGTCACCGCAACAAGTGCGGCCGATTTGGTCAGTAGCTCACGGTGAGGTTTTGCTGCTTCCTACTTCACCACAGGGATTCTAAATAAGGATGAACTTTACTCGCATTACTTCCTTTATACAGACTTGGACAGCACAAGGATACATCAGCAGCAGCTTCCTCTCACGATTCATCCGCTAACCATTATTTTGTCCGGCACGATCACCGATCACAAACTAGGAGGCACACGACCAGCTGGTCATCTACGAAGGGACGAAAGAAAGCGCCTAATAACAAATGGAAATAAGCTATTATTTCAGCTGAGCCAAGGATCGACGAGGTGGACCAGGCGAGACGCCAGGGCGCAAGTCACACGGCGACGGTTTGCCTGTCGAGGTCCACGAAGTGGGTCTCATGGCTTTGAAGATCCATGAAGCGGCTCTCGTGGAACTTGGCGATGAAGGCGGAGGCCTTCCTGTCGACGTCGGGCTCCCCCACCCACTTCCCTCGGTCCTCGTCGCTGGGTCGGATCTTCCTGGACACGTACCTCGGCTCCCAGTCGGCCTCCTCGTCCTTGTACTTGGCCTTGAAGAAGAAACAGGAAGAAGACTTGGAAGACGACTGGCTTCCTCCCATCTCTCTTCCACACGCTTTCTCTTCAGGGGGCGCTCTGCGAGGAGTTCTAGGGAGCTTCTGCTCCTTTTATAGCCAAGGGAGGCCCTGAGCTAGTGGTGGTGGTGGTGGCGGGCGGGGTGGGGGGAAGGTAGCTTTGATAGATTCCAGGGGCAGTCGTAGACGTTTGAACGGTGCGAATTAGCTGCGTTGTGTGTGCTTCACAGTTGGTAAGAGATACCATCCATGCACACCGGTTGGACTCGTTCCAAGTTTTATCTTCTTCTACTGCTCCGTCTCTGTGCTTTTGTAACACAATTCGACAGGGAAAACATTATGCAAGCAGCCTAATAGCCTCACGTTCACCTGTCATTCACATTGCAGATCGGAACAATCAGTCACCTACGGAATCACCAGAGCATATAAGCCATGGCATGGAACCATGATCCTCATCCAGGAAACTAATATTTTAAGAGAGTTCATATTCCAGACCTCGAGAGATCGATTACTGTTGATCGATTGGCCTTGCACCATCTGAATCGTCTTATCCAGCATGCAAATCCGAAAGATGCTTCCTGCAAAGATAAGATGGTATTACATTTTACTTTAATTTTTCGACATGGAACACCGATGATTGCAGGCACACAGAGAGAGAGAGAGAGAGAGAGAGAGAGAGAGAGAGACGAGGACACGATGAAGATGAAGGCGACCGAGAGAGTACTTTCTTCATGCGCTCAAAAGCAGTCGACTTTGTTTGGCCTGCCAAACTAGCAGATGCAATCACGGAAAGATAGGCAAACTTTAGAGATGTCATGGATTAGTATTATTTTAGTCGCTACTTTAGTGTTGCTCGCTGTAATCACGTTGCTTAGTAGTATATCATTAGGGGTAGAATCTTGATCAGGCAAAAGGGATTTGGCTTGGTAGGTGAAGCCGATTTCTGTGGGCTGTGAGATTGTGCTGCCAGTACCAATTGCTTGATCCGAACCAGTGTCCACCTGCCATTGGGAAAGAGTGCTCAAAGGAGGGGGGAAGGGGACACCCAGTCAAGGTGGTCGAGAGGGATCTCGGAATAAAGAAAGATCCATGTGATATGATTAACGCTCTTTCTTGGTGGACTAATCATCTGCTAAATCTCTTTTTCTTCTTCCTCTTCTGGTGCGACAAAAGGACCACGACAGCGTTGTCACCGCAAACCCTAAATGCCGAGCCTTCAAAATATACTTGTAAAGGCACTTTGAACGAAGAAGAAGAAAAAGAAGCCCTCTTCCGTGCCTCGCAAATAGAAGAAGACCACAACGGAAGCATCATCATTCCATTTGCAGACATCAACAATACGTTTTTTACTCTCTTTTTACGAAACAGAGCTCAGCATGACCTCAAAAAACATTAGTGGAGAATAATTATTAATGTATATAAAAAATATGGATATCGGTAAAAATGATTAAATGGTATCGAGAAATTAAGTTTATTGGCTAATTTCAAAAAAGGAAATATTGATCGTTTTCCGTACGTTCGCAATCCTTCCTGTTTAAACCGGTTCGTTTGGGCCATCGGTTCGGCTTCCCCGGCTTAACATGGCCATCGGTCCATCAGAGACTGGTCCATCAGAGGTTGGTTGTCTCGGCGCAGCAGAAGAGATCGGTAGACGACAGACCAAGGGATTCCGACGCCCGCCGCCCGCCGAATCCATGGCCCGACCACGGTCGCCCACGAATGATCTCCCCCCATCCCTTGGCGGCTACAAGGTCTCGAAGCCTCTTTTTGCATCGGCATTGTTGGTCCTCGATTCCATCTTGGTGGCTCTCATCATCGCCTACGTCCCTTGTAAGATGCCCGAGATCACTTCTTACCCTCTCTTCACCGGTTTTCCCTTCTTTCTTCTTGATTAACTGATGATGCCGAGGTCTGATGTATCTTCTTGATTCTGCCCTCTCTGTTTAGATACCAAGATCGATTGGGACGCGTACATGACCCAGGTGATGACTCTTTGTGACCTAACCGGGCCTCGTTGGTCTCTTCTTGGAACGGAGAGGAGGCTTTCCATCTTATCGGGCTCATCTTTCGTTGTTTGTTCTTGCAATTGGCGGCAGGTAGATGGGTTTCTCGGAGGAGAGAGGGATTACAGCAAGCTGAAAGGGGACACGGGGCCGTTGGTTTATCCGGCTGGGTTTCTTTATGTCTACTCCGCCATCAAGTTTCTAACCGGCGGGGAGGTCTTTCCTGCTCAGGTGCGATCTCGATGGACCTCGCAAGATTCTTTCTCTACCTTCTTTTCTTTTTATTTTCCTTTCGTGTTCTTTCACCAAGATGTGTCAAGATTAACTATATTCAAAATTCTTTGGAGCGCTCTTTTTTTTATGCTTGATCTTTAGTTGTGCGATTGAGGAATTTCTCATATCTCTCCTATCAAATATTTATACCGTTGCTGAATCTTATATGTGCGAGTATTCGGCCCATGGTATGCGAGATACTTTGTACAATTTAAGACTGAGAATTGTCCCATTGTAGAGTCTCATGCTTAATGGAGAGATACAGGTGACACCGTACAAGTTGCAGACGTATACTGGAAATAACATGGAATGCTGCTTATCACATATGAATCAAATGAATGATGCGCAAGAATGATGTTAGCCATCCCGAGTGCGAATTTTCGTTTCTTTTCATTATACACTCCGTTAGTCATTGTATTGGGGGCTTTGGTGTTATTCTTGGGAAAGTGTGTAGCCTGTAGCCATTGTACTGTATCTCTCATTTAAATTATTAAAATATGCATGTTTTTAAGTATACAAGTGTGTTTGTGAGATATGTGCGGTTCTAAGATGTCATATATATCAGTGCATGTGTTCATAAATCATCCATCTATAATTTATCTTGTGTGCCCATGATTTTTCCCTTCACTTATCTGCAAGATTTTAATGAACTTCAACAACATCTTTTGAGATATGAAGTATTCTTGTGTGTAGGCATGATAGTGGCCAAAGACAGCCAAAATATATGCCTAAGAAAAGAAATGTCCAGAATATTGTTATTCTTAGTGTTTCAAAGAGTTAATTATGTTTGCTTGTTCAACATACTGTTAGGATGGAAATAAATTAAAATTCACTATGTGATTGCTTTGGTTCCTATCTCACAAAACATGAAACTTTACACGTGTTAATTCACTTGGTTCTTATTATCTGTCCTTTTGCAGATCTTGTTTGGCATTCTTTACATAATTAATCTGGGGCTCGTTTTCTTCATTTATATAAAGACCGATCTGGTATGGAAATCTGTCAGAGTTTACCGTTAATTAAATTTTATACTTCTTTGTACTATTGTGTTTCTATTAACATTACACACAATAAAAAATTATTGTTTTCTATGATTAGTGTTTATATATATATATATATATATGTATATATATATATATGTATATATATATATATGTATATGAGGTCGGAGAACTTCATGAGGGTTTATTGTGTTCCATGATCGGTACTAGCTATCTCGCTTTACTTGTGGAAGTGAACGGAACACATTTTGCATTTGATTCTTTTTGGTAATATGTTGCCCATAATCCAAATGGGTACATCTTTGCTGGCTTTGGTAATTCAGATGCTGATATTGAAAGTTATGCATCATACTAAACGGATAATAATGTTACATGATTTTGGCAATTTGAGTACCAATGAGAATATCTTTTTTTGGAAGTCCCCTCATATCATTAAATGGACACCATCTATAACCACTAGGTTGGACTTTAAGCACCGGAGGGAGGGGTCTAACTTGTTATCTAACAGTTGAATTTCTCCCTTTCAAAGCAGATTTAAATATGCTCGTATCTATCTTCATGACACTATTGCTTGTCATCTTGTTGTGGCAGCTTCCATGGTGGGCTCTTTCTTTCCTTTGTTTGTCGAAGAGAGTTCACTCGATCTTTATTCTTCGTCTCTTTAATGACTGTTTTGCAATGACCTTGCTTCATGCTTCTCTAGCTTTGCTATTTAGTCAAAAATGGCATCTGGCTTTGATCATTTTCAGGTACTAGTTCTTCTTTTCTCAATCACTTGAGTATCATAGGCAACAACTAACTTAGTTGTTTCTTTATTTGATAGCTGATGAATATGGCTGGATTTTAATTTTCATTTGTCTTTTCACCATAGTGGAGCTGTGTCAATTAAGATGAATGTGCTTCTATATGCGCCACCTTTATTTCTGCTTATGTTAAAGGTATAACGTCTGATATTAAAGTTTCATTTATTAGACATCTTGATTATAAATTTATCGCTTAATTTACAGCTAACTGTTGTTACTATGAATATTGTGCTGTAGGCTCTTGATGTTAAGGGTGTCTTCTCTGTCTTGTTTGGTGCTGCGTTAGTGCAGGTATCTATCCATGCATTGCTGTTTCCATTTCCTAATACTATATACGTCAAAATCCATTTTTCATTTTATTCCTTCACATGCGTTTGAACTTTGTTTGGCCCATGCAATCTCTATCTTAGTTTTAAGATTTACAGGGGTTATTTAGTTACTTTTGATTGGTTTTTTGTCTGCAATTTGTGATATATTTTAATCGGGAATGATACAATAGACCAAAGTTATTTGGTTGATTATGGTTAATGACTATTTCATCTAATTGGTCAAAGCAGCAAGTGATGGGCTTAAGTGGATGACGGGAGATGTGTGGGTGCTTGAGAGAAAAGTGATGCTTAGGATGGGTGGTTTGGTTGAGTGGTAATGATCGAATGAGGTGGTGAGCATATGTGCGACTTCAACCAAGCAACTGGGATGAGAAGAATCATATGAATCCTGTCTACTTCTCTTTTTTTGTAAACTGATGTGACTTGCAAACTTATTTTTTATGTACTAACACATATTATTTTTTTCATTTTTTATTTTAGCATGCATCTAATAGGGCAAGCCTTGGTGCCACAATAAAGTTTCTCCTTCGCATAGCGGCTTTTTGAATCACAGAAATAAGTTCTCTACTTATAAAGATAAGGTTGTAAGTTGTAACCCAGGTCTACATCGACAGCAGCTTCTGGCACCATGCCACTTTTCTTTTTTAACACACTTTTAAACCCATTTTTAATTTTGTTTTCTTGCCAATTATTCTTTGCTTTCTCTTGAATGTGTGGTGTGGAAATTGTTCTAATTCAACGATAATTATGCTTCGCTGATCTTTATTTTTGGGTGCTTCGTATAATCTGCTGAATGTAGCCAATGGAGGTTTGTTTCTGGTTGAACAGGCTAATCACAGCCTATGATGTGCCATACTACCTGCTAAATAACTTACTACAGTTCAAGGTTTCATGCGCCCCCTTTTACTCGCAATAGTTTTGGCTAGATTTCAAGATTTGTTAGGGGGCAGCCTAAGACTTCACATAATCTGTTCATTTAGGCTTCTCAAGTTAGTTAGGCTCCCTCTCCATACTATTGTCGGAAAAAGCTTGATGTTTTGTTTTGAAGAATTTGTTGACGTTATAGCTGGTTGCATTAGAAACTATTCTTGTTATTGTCTATATCTATTTGTTGTCATTTGATTGGATGATTCACTTTTTGGCAGATTATTTTGGGCTTACCGTTCTTGCTGACATATCCTGTTGAGTACATTTCAAGAGCCTTTAATCTTGGGCGTGTCTTCATCCATTTCTGGTGCATACACAGTCTTTAGAATTTTAATTTGTTACAGTGATCAAAATATTCTAGTCTAGATTGCTGCTGTTCTTGGAAAGTTGAACTTTATTATGAAATGCTAATCTGTTGATTCATGTCATGGCTGAAAGATGCTTCTTATTTTTGTTAGTGACTAATAATTAGTTCAATAATGTGCATCATCTATATCTAAACAATGAACAAAGCAATAAATTTAATAGGTGTTTGGATGTATTTTGGAGCTAATTTTTTCTGCACTGCAGTATTGACATTTTTAGAACAGTGAAATTTTCTGTAGGTTTCTGTAGCTCTTATATTTATGATGTTCCCAAGAACAATAGATCTGCTCTATGCATTTGACCACATGGATGCAAACATAATATGAAACATCATAAATGTTTTGTTCTTTCATGTGAACTGCAGGAGTTAGCTATATAAATTATATTCTTCTCTAAACTAGTGATTGTTAAGCATTGAATGTAGATTTTTGTAAAGTTATAGAATTTGTCAAATATGCCAATAAGAATTCTGGAAAACTTTTGATTGCATCCTCGTGCATATGTGCAACATGCTACATTTGCCGATGTATTTAACTTTGTTATGTAGGCAGAATGGCAACTGATATAATTATTCTATTTATGATGATGTTTCTCCTGTAAATCTGATATTTTGTTTTCCTCTTCCAGAGTAACATTTTCACATTTCCTCTATTTTCTTTAACTTTGTATGATTGCTTGAAAAAGTTTGGTGATAGAATGGGCTGAAGAATAAAAACTTGAAGACTGATAGTTATTTGCAAAGTTTTCTTTTGGTTTTATAAACACAGAATCAAAGACCAGTGCAAGAAACTGATTCTGTGATCACAATGGTAGACACATATACAAGTTCAGTCACTAGTGTCATCATCCTGAACTAGTTAAGCAACTTGATTTCTTTATATTCAATGATGAGGATTTTTTATTGGACATATTTGTGAGAGAATGTCAATTCATGTTTGAGTGAAACCTGCATTATACAGACCAATTTAAGGGGAACCAACGGCCATGTTAGCAAGCCCCTCGTTATATCAATGATGCTTACATGATTCTGTCCACTGATCATTAATTTGGCATATCTCGTTAAATTTTCAAATGAGTTGAAAATAAAGTTGATTGGTCATTGATTATTTTAATGTGAATCAGATTGTCTCCCTGTATGCCCATAGGAACCTAAGTACTGCTGTTACCGTTTCTTTGGAGATGATCTTTTAAACAGATTCTGAGGGACATGCAGTGGGAGTAGAAATTGCAGGCTTAGCATAGATGCCAAGATACTTGTTTTATACTAACTAGCTAGTGCCTCTCTGATATTGTGACTGGATCTTGTTAATATTCCTGTTCTTGCTTCTTAATTTCTAAAGGTCTGTATTTTTTTCAACTTGTTAGCAACCTTCTTTGTTCAAAACATGTACTATAGATGAGTAAACTAAATCCAAGCTGCACTTTGCCACCTGTTTTTGTCCTCCCTGTCTTACAGGGAAGTGAGACAATCGGACATTAAACTTGCGCCCTACCAGTGGGCATTGCTGCCTTTCTAATTGCTGTATTTCTCGGCGAGATGAGGGAGGCAGAAACATGTATAAATGGTATTTGGCAGTAGCAATGTTACCTTACCATTCCCTATAACTGTCATTTGCAGGTTCTATAAATTAAAATAGACATTATTTGTCAAAACCCCTCTTGGTTACAAAGATATTAAGGTATGCATGTCTCCAGACTGATTCTTTTAGTTCAAGTCCGTAATTCTATTTGCAAACTGTAATGGGTGTTATAGTGACTTGCATCATTAATTTAAGCAAAGAAACATAGGTTCATTTACATGCTTGTATCGTAATGTATAGCTGTAACCTATATACAACAAATCATGAGTCTCATCTATTTCGGGTACACTACATGGATGATTTCCTACCACTGAGCTAACACTAAACCTATATCTACAAAAGTATTTGTCCAATTGTCAATCAGCATAAACATACGTGTCTAGGCACAGAATCAAATAGGAATGTTTTTGTGAATGTATTATTTAGGCATTGGTTAGCCAGATATATATTGTAATCCTTGTCATGATTAAGTCAACCGTTACATCATTGCATTAATCTTGTTTCAGGTCTGTTAATTTCAAGTTTGTTCCAGAAGAGATATTTGTATCAAAAGAATTTGCATGTGCCTTACTGGTTCTTCATCTAACATTGCTTATAGTATTTGCAAACTTCAGATGGTCCAAGTGAGTAACCAAAATTTTGTTATTATCATTTCTTTTGTTCTCTCTGCTTTTATATCTTTGGTTAGTGTTAAGGAATGATAATATGCAGTCCTTTTAGAATAAGTCCGATAAACATCTTAGTCTGAACTGTTTTACGTGTGATGAAAGACTATTAGTGCGCTTTGCTCTAACTGATATATGTTAAAAATGACTAGCAAAGGAATAAGTTTGATTGTTGAATCATTTTTTGTTTACTCTTTCATTCATAATTTGCATCAGATTTAGACTATATGGTATTTCTTTTTGTTAACCATGCAAATAATACTTGGTTGTTTATTACTGAGTATACCAGTTAATACAAACTTGTCACTGGGGCTTATTTTGAAGATGCCACAGTGACCTGTATACCTCTCTGACTTTGATTGTGGGATGCATGTTGGCCCATGAGATCATCTAACGCCATCAAATAACACTGCACTTGTACCTGCAAAAGCACATTGAAGATTTGCTTATAAATGCAATTCCACTTTAGACTTCACTTGAATTTCATCATTTGCAATCTGGAATAATAACGGGTTTTAATGAATGTTGTGTTGGGCGCTGACAGGAATGGACTTTTTCATCTCTTGAAGTCAAAAGTCAGTGATGCTTTTTCAATATTCTCTATTCAGCAATTTCAGTCCTGTGAATCAAGAATCAAAACTCTCAATAAAGAATGTATGTTTGGAATTTCTGAAGATCCTTCTCTTATCACATTTTGTTTTGTTTACATTATTTTTCCTCGGTCTGAACATATATGTGAACTGATATACATCCAGATATTGCAACTGTTATGTTTGTCGGGAACTTCATCGGCATTGTATGTGCTCGATCTCTTCATTACCAGTTCTATTCCTGGTAAGCTAATCTAATAAAGATTTGTATTTGCTTTTATTGATGAAAATAGCATACTAAAAGAACAACCTATCTGTAACCCAGTTAAAAGATTTTCCACAAGTGTTGTTTTTTCTTCTGATGTTACTTAAAAAATCCAAAAATTCACATTGCAAGAAATGTACTGCAAATATTGTTCATGTTTTGCATTATTTGGTGCCTGGAAAAATATGAGCAAAAACATCCTTTACCAAAGGATTTAAGTGCTTGCTTTGAAATCTCTCATCATTGCTTTGGATTTTTTTTTCTTTTTTTGGATGTAAAATTATATATTGGTAACTTCTCATGTCACAAGTAAGATAAGCTATTGTGTTTTGTTGGTTTATGTGTTTAACTGTCAAAGTTCACCAATTGCTTTTGGTAGGGTATTGCTTACTATTACTTATTTTATTGATTCTTCTGCAATTTAACTGTCGAAATATACTTGGAACTGCTCCAGGTAGAAACTCATTTTGCAAATTGTGAGTTTTGGGTGTCATACATGAACATTTTTCTATATTGTACGAGAATTTTCTTATGTAACTGCCCATCACATCATGACCATCCGGGTATCAATTTCTTGTTTGATTGACTAGTAGCTTTCTGATATTGTCATTGAAATCTTCATTCATCCATATCCTGATACAAATAATTGTGGTTATATTCCACGGTCTGGGGTAAAGCAGAATATATCTTTCTTGTTAGTCAGTAATTTTTAGCGTCACATAGTAGCATAGCTTTTAATGATTTTGTGAGACATCAAAGATGTAAAGTTACTTACTATTTTGCTTTTCCTTTTAATTACTGTGGCTAATAAATTGATGATGATGCTTTCATCATTAAAAGCAGTTTTTCACTTGGGTGTCTGTCTGTCAGGTACTTCTACTCGTTGCCTTTTCTATTGTGGAAAGCACCGTTCCCGACCCCTCTAAGGTAAAAAGGTTGCCACATTCGTTACTGCTGTTTGTTTGTTTCATAAAGATGTTTGTGTTGTGTGTTTCAGGCTCATCTTGTTTGCTGGCGTCGAGCTCTGCTGGAATATTTACCCTTCAAATATGTATTCCTCATTGTTGTTACTTTGTATGCATTTGTTCGTACTGTTGGGTGTTTGGATTGCGCCAATTGGAAGTGAATTTGTTGATCAAATACATGCAGAGAGAAAGGAGGCGTGACTGATGCTGCTGCTGCTGCATTATTTGCCCAAACTAGTTTGAATCATTACATTTTGAGCATGTTTTTCACCCCTTGTTGGTGTTTTGCGTATTCAGTGAGGATAAAAATCGGATTTTTTTTTGTCTTTGGTTGATTTTATAATTTGGATTTACATCCATTTAAAACATAATAAAAACCTCGGAACACATTTGTAATAACTCTGTTAAAATTACTAAAGAAAAACACGGCACGACACAGCTCACAGGCAGATATGAACTGAAAGAAAAATAAGAGATCATGCACCAAATGTAGCAAAGCTATGCTTGTTTGAAACCCATGATGAGATCGTCAGTGAAAAATGGGGATCAAGTTGGATGTGTCTGATATCTCATCATTAGCACCGACAGGCTAATTTATCAAGGTAAGACGGTACCTGAAGACGACGCTAGTGCCCTATAAAAAAAGGTGCATCCCAGCAAAAGAGACGTTGCTCTCTATGCATGCCCTAGCGGTGAAGCAGAGTTTCTGACCTCGGTGATGCATCAACAATGAGAGAAGCACAATACCAGAAACTCCCACGTGATGGTGGTGGTGATGGTGGTGGTGAGGGATACCCCCATTAAATAGGTCGTGCGAGGCACAAAAGCAGAAAACCCCAAGCAGCGAGGAGAGAGATCCCACGGTTGCTGCCTTAGCAGGAAAAGATGATGAGAAGCACAAAAGCAGAAGAAAACCCGAGATGATGATGATGATGATGCGAGGGATCCCATGGGTGCTGCCGTTCTATACCATAGCAGAACACCTCAAACAAACAAACAAAAAAAAAAAAGAAAGGGGCACGCTCATGTTAAAGACCTTAATATACTTATATAAGAATAATAAAGCCACGAGGAAAATAACCTCTCCAAATGCCATGCCAGCAAGCTGAAAGTGCTCCAACTAAAAGGTGAAGAATCCAAAGCTCCGAGAGTCCACAATTTAACCACTTTAAGCCAATTAATGATCATAGGACATCCATTGGTCCCTTCAGGTCCTACAGTGAGACAAATTTGGTTGGATTTTTCAGAAACATGGTGTCCTTTAGCTCCGGCTCCGGCTCCTGCTGCGTTTCCCATCCCTGCAGAAAAATCTTTGGCATCAATACTGTCGCAACTACATACACAATTGCTATGTATACAGGTTAAGAGGTCGTCCCTATGTTCAAAGTAATAACTACAGACTGTCACACACCCATTGGCATAGGGGGGAGAGTCTTGACGACGATATGCTGGTGGTGAACGGCTGTGGCTCTTGTCACGGCGAGGAGAATTGCTACGACGTCTATCCCTGCCAGGACTTCTGATAAAAATGAAATGATGATCAACAACACATTCATGAAAATCAAAACGACGAGATCCTAGTCTCCACTATATGGTATCACACAGCTCAGACAACATACTTGTTACCATAAGGAGAATCATCACGACGATATGCCGGTGACCGACTCCGAGGTGAATAGCTGCGACGAGGGGATCTTCTCCCTCGTGGACTACGACTTCTGCTGACCCAAAAACAAAAAAGGTTTTACACATTTCACAAAAAAAGCTAAAATCCATGTAGTAATACATGTAATAGATATATATAACTAACTTTGTATAATAACTTATATAACTTTATAAACAGCGCAATGAGGTTAAGTATAATTAACATTACATAAGAAAAATCATACCCACGACCATAGCTAGGGCTTCGTCGATAGCGAGGTGGGCTAGGGCTTCGACGCCTTCCGCTTCCCAATCCCCCTGTGCCAATCCGCAATTTGCACTCTCGGGCAAAATGACCAGGTTCGCCACACTCGTAACAGTTCATGTCCCCACCTCCACCTCCACCTCCACCTCCACCTCGCCCTCGACCACCACGACCGCCTCCTCCAGCCTTAGAATTATGAGAAAGTTCCACACGCCACCCATGTTTCCCTATAATAAAGGCCAACAAAGTTTATGTTACAAAAATGAAACAGAATTTGGATACAATTAACACCTAGATGAGAAATTAAGACTAGTAGTTGCAGGAAAAAAAATGTAATTTTCACTTTCACACAAAAATTCAGAAAATGAAGATAAATTCAGAAAGTTACTCTTGCTCTTTCAATTCCAAAGAAGAACTAAACAAACCACAACAATAGCTTACAAACTATATGCTTCAACGATTTTGTCTCTCCACAACTTTTGTAAAGGATGGAAAAAAATTGAATTAAAATAAGATTAGCATGCAGTGCTGAAAATAAACAACAAAAAATTCAGCATACTTCAAAAAGATGTCCACCAACCAAGCGGAATTACAAACCAAATGGTCACAACAGAATCAAAATTGAAAAAGAAGAGCTCATGGATTTATTTACCAAGATGGGCTCCTGGACCAAAAGAATAAGCTGTATCTTTAACATAAGTGCATATGCTATCATGTCACGAATATAATGTCTTCCAGATATATGTATCCATACATCAAACATTTATAAATTTTACTCCTCTCCCTACATCAGGCCTCTTGTCTTGCGCATAATAGTGACATCGAAGTCAGTGAAGACAGCAATTGAGCACATAATAATTTGATGATGGCCATGAGAACCCCTAGTTTGTTCAAAATGCATTATATGAGAGAGATGCCTTCACCACGATTGCGAAGTTTGATTGAAACCCATCCACGCACAAGCCCTAACGTAGAAACCCTTTCTCACTTTGTTTCTGCATGGTGACGAAGTTCCTCCCATCGACGAACGACGGCAGCAGAGACAGCGTCTTCCTCCAGCAACAGCGGCAGCGACAACAGCAGCATCTTCCTCCGAAGGCAGTTGTGTTGGCTTCTTCCCCTCCCTCCTGGTTATCTCTATCTCTCTCCTCCCTCGTCCCTCTCTCTCTTCCCCTCCTTCCCTGTTCACAGCAGCCTTCTTCCCCGTTCACTGCTGCCTTCTTCCCCATTCATGCAGCCCTCCTACAGCCTCTTCCCTCTTCCCCGTTCACCACTGCCACTTCATCATTGTTTGTCAATTTGAACTTAGAATAGATGTCTGCTTTGCTGTTAGTCTTTGTTGTTTGTCTACGTTTGTGACAACAGCTGCTGCCTGTTGTAGTGAATCAGTAGCAAAATGTCGATTATTATTGCTATTGCTGTAATGATTAGTGCTACTTTTTAGTATTTTGGATTGTTGTTGCAGCTTTAGATGGTGACAAGATTGAAGATGATGAACCAGACTTTAATGACCTTTGATGTTAATCTTGTTTTATTTTGTCATTTTGTTATTGGATATGGACAATGTAGTTTGGTACTTTAAATGAATGCAAGTTTGAATCTTGATGTGTCATTTTTGTTTTAGTTTATTTTTATTAATCATGATATATAATTTTTAAATTAATCATGCTAAGGCCCTCAGGCATTTTGGGACCATGGCGCCTAGCACTTTTGACTGCACTGAGTAGGACAAAAGAATTACAATAATTAATATGAACCCTTGCTGACCATCGACTGCCTGCTATCAACTGGCCAACTGCATGTCAATAGACAACAACCAACAGGATCCTGCAATGGCCAGTGATCTCACTGAAGCAGTCGTAGGAAGCAATCACCATGAATGTTAGCGAGACAACATCTACCTGTTTGCTAGAGGATAGATGATAGCGATGGGTAGCATTGACCTTCTATTTCTCTATTCTTTCTTCTCCTCTACCCTTTGCCATAACTACCAGAATCAACTACTGCTTGTTTATTCTTCACAAATCAGTGAACTCACTTGTATTATTTTCTGGAAACCACTAAATTCCTTGGTCAGCAGCAAACCTCTCCCTTGTGCAAGCCTGACTGTATTATTTCACACAACCACCACTAAATTCCATATGCAAAAGACCTATTATTTGTGCAATGCTATCTCTTGCTGGTGCCATTATCTCATTCTCAAATTGTCGAGTATGCTCCAATGTATCTGTTTATAAGGATACAACGATTTCTAGAGATATCAAACCTCCTTATCTCTTGCCTTCTTTCCATAATAAGTACTACAAGTTTTACACTCAGACCTACAATAACATGACCAACGATAATATAGATATTAAAACATATAAACTATTATAACAAGAGCAACAAGTCATGATGTCACAAATATTTGAAGTTGACTACATTATCTTTCTCGTTACTCCACAGATGACAAAATCTCTAGTTAAATCGACAACAAAATTTCTACTAAATTCTTTTTAGGTCTCCTTCTATCACTATTCCACACCACTAATGTTAATCAACTCACCTCATCTAAGCATACCATCAATAGGTCCCCTATGAAGTGTTTGTCATCTAGATGATTCTCTGTCAACTCACTTCAACTAATCATAGCATCTATGTCTCCTTTGATGTGTACATATCATCTAGATGGTTCTTATTTTAACCTCTACCGAGAATACACCTAATTAATGTTCTGTACCTATCCAACACTTAAATCCATAAAGCATGATTGGAGAAACTCCATACCAAAATATTTCTTTTAGTCTATGGGGCACTCTGTGATCAGAAACCAAACATGGAAAAAGGGCCGATCATCCTTCTCATGATCTCAGAGTACATCAACCAAGCAGGCCAAGAAACTTTGATCTTTCTGAATCCGGTCTCAGTGGTTTTTAAAATTAATTCTGACACCCATTCTGACATGAACCAAATACACCTAGGTCTTGTAGAGGACTATTTTCATAAAGCAAATAACATCTAACATTTCTATGTGTTAATTCCTCCAACAATGTCAATTTTGAAATCTACCAAATCCGAAGCTTCCATTGTCTAAAATAAAAAAGTATTATTATTTGATACTATTAGTCTTACAAAATATTGGTTGTGCTTGTTCCACCCAACTGCAACAAGAACAAAATTTCAGAAAGATGTGAACCAAAAACAATGCAGAAAAGAATAAAATCTAAAATGAGTAACTAAAAACACAAAAAATATGAAGCATTATATATTAGTTAACCAAAAGTGATATTTCCCATGGTCTAAAACATAGAAGTATAATATTGTTGAGGAGGAAGGGCATGATATAAGAACAGACAATGTTTGAGATTTAGGTGATCTGAGTATCATATAATGTAAGGAAAATAAAGCACAAGAACTTGTGTACCATCTATGTCACGGATGGCATCCAAGGCATCTCTTCGGTCATCAAATTCAACAAAACCATAACCAGGTGGTCTCCGAGCAACCCAAACACTGCACATGCTCGAACAACATGGTTCCGAGCATCATATCACATCAAGTTTTCAACCAACCATAACAATATAATAAACAATATAATAAGCGATCGCATGTATTTTATAAACATATACAGGAGCATGAAAAATAAAGACCTATCATGTTTTCATGAGCTCAACACCACAAATTTATATAGACTATTGACATAGTCAACCCATGCAATTTAATACACAAAGATCAAGAGATGACTGAACATTTACACATGGCGACCAACAAACAAAAGTTGAGATGACATCTATCTGTAGGAGTGAATTACAAAACTAATTAAACAGATATAAATAATAGGCATCCCAATACGATATACAAAACAAGTATACGGTAGCATTACGACTAGGCAATGGTTTTATTGCATAGAGCATAAGAATGTCTAACAGCTGGAATCAATCATCAATACCAACCTTCTGAGTCTTGCTTGAACAAACTATGGCATCAACTCGTTCATAGAAGATCGTTAAAAATGCAATTAATTCTGCATTAGTTAGTGTCATCTTCCTTTCCCTGAAGTGTTTGCTTAAATATTCATGCATCAGCTTTGGATTTCATACTTAAATTAGTGCTAATTGTGTTGATCCTACTAAGTTCTGCATTGATTAGTCTTGCAATCTTGCTTAAGCAATCCTCTCGACATACACCCTTCACTAGATGCAACCAAAGATTCTCAGAATAAATCAAGATAAAGACAAATATTTTGATATTTGTGCAAAAAGGAGATATCAAGGTATGCAAGAGCCTCGAGTTCAAATGATCAATATGAAACTCAATGCTTCCATAAAGCAAGTCAGATCAACAAATAAAAAACATATTGACAAGAAAAAAAAATAAACAATTTCAGATCATGCATGCCCAGCTATCAAAATTAAGGTACTGACATAAATGAAAACTATTGATTTCATTAAAATGTCCACCTTCGAAGTACACCGAATGCTCGGAATTCATCTTCTAGTTCTCTTTCACTGACTCGTGAATCCAGGTTTCCAACGTAAACTCGAGACATTTTGGAACAATGATTGCCAACCTAATAAGAATAAACCATGAAAAAAAATTGTTAAAATAATATAAAAGGAGTCAAATATACTTGCATACACCTACACTAGCAGATGTTGTTATTGCTAGTAGTGATTTGACTTGAAAATTAGATACCCCTAAAATTGAAATTGAGATGTAAATAATTGGAAGATAGAATGCCTGCAAGTTTTTTTCTTCGCAAAGGGTAAGTGATGGTGGGTTTTAATCGTCAATTAAGCTAGCAACTTCAAAAATATATCTATGAGGTTTTGAACCCTCAAACATTGGTAAGTGAGTCTCACACACCATTACTATCAATGTTTTAGGTTTAAAAACATGTCGGATGAGGTTTCAAACACTCGACCCTTTGGAAAGTGGGATTGGCACACTAGACCAATAGTTTAGGTGTAAAAAAACAAAATGGGCATTTTTAATGACCTAGGAATAATGAGTCATAAGTATATGAATAAAAAGAAAAAAGTACAATGCAAGATATATATATATATATATATATATATATATATATATCTGTATGTGTAGAAAACAATGAATATGAACAAAAAGAAGAAAGAACATTACAAGTTTCTAAAGAATGACCAGTTTTTACCTGAAAGATCAATGACACAAAGAAAGCAATAGTGATCTAAAGTTCTGATTATAATAATAACAATAATGAGCATGTGGAAAGAGATGTGAATAAACAAAATTCTAGTGAGAGACAAATAACCTCGTAATTTATAAAAACATTTTAAGAATAAAATAAGACAATAATTCTATATGATTTCTAAAATAAGGTTTGGAAGATTTAAAGACGATGTCTAGTTTAACTAAAAATACTGAACCAATAAGGAAGAAGAACACATGCCAGAAATGACAAGGATATGGAAAAGCGGAAGAGGGAATAGAGAAACCAGATTCATAAGCAATAAAATGACGAGAGAATCTGGAGAAAAGAAAGGAAAAAAGGGTACAAATAATCACTATTGGTAATGTATTACAACTTTAAACACATTCTAAGTTCAGATGAATCGCAAGATAGTAAGATCGATTACATAGTCATTTTGGGATGGATAAACAAAAAAAATTATTTGATTACACACGAAACTGTAATTTTCAAGATCTATTCCATGGTCGTTTTGCCTCGTCAGTATTACTAGTGCTAGTAGAGTTTGGCAAACATTCACCAAAAAATTCAAGACCTAACATGATCTTCGTAAAACCTAAGACAAGTCCTCCTAAGAAAACAGCAAAACATCAATGAGCTTCAAACAGAAATATGGCCCACGTATACCTACCACCTGTCAAACAAAAAAGTTTTATAATGGTAACCAATTTCAAGCATCAACATCTTAAAACATAAGAAAGACCATACATCTTGCACGGTCGAAAGCTATGGTGATGGTATCTTGAATTCAATAAAGCATGGAACTCCAACGAAATATTTCATTACATGCTAACATGTCCCATTGAGAGCTCAACAATTCAATTATGGTTGGATCAACCAACATTCTATGATCAATTCAATTTTTTTTCCTTTTGACATGATAAAAAAGATCCTTAGGTTCAACAATACCAAAACATTCAAGGAATTATGAAGGATTTAAATTTATACGTTTCTCAAGATCAAGAAACATCCCGTGATGAACTAGGTGAAAACAAAAATAAAAGTCTCACAAGAAGCTATGCAGCTAAACGTTCACCTCTTTCTTTCCACAAATTATCTTTAAAGAGAACCCTTCTCGACGTGATCAATAGTATTTATCACAAATCATTCCTATCAAGCAGCGATCTTAACATTATCCAAGAATACTAATATTTCGGAAGTTGTGATGGATTAGCAAGAAACACGTCAAACAAAGAGCACAAAACCGGCAAGAAACCCTTATCACCATCCAACATAAGGAATCGCAACAAAACAATATGTAATATATGTCATTCGAAACCCAATCAAGAAGCCCTTTCTTCGCATCCTGCGTTCTTTTCTTCTCCCCTTCGGGTACCGCACGACAACGCAAGACGATGTCCCCAACCAGGAAACAGGAAAAGAAAACGAATGTAACAGATGACAACACCGACGCGACGCCTTCAAATCCAGGTCCCGCAGAAACCGACGACAGAGAGAGAGAGAGAGAGAGGCGGGGAAGGAACGAGATGCAAAGGACATCGGGATTACCTCGAAAGATTGTAGATTCGCCGGTGGGAGAACCTCGAGAAGGGATTTCCTTTGCCGAGTTAGGGTTTTACGGTGGAAGAAAATATAAAGCCGGCTGGGTGAGTTGATATCGGGCGGGCGGGCGGGCGGGCGGGCGGGTACCATTTGGATCCGAAATTAGTGTCCGAACCGGATTCTATTTGGATCCGAAAAAATTCAAACTAAAGGGGCCTCGAAGCCCATCCAATAAACAACAAATCGGGCTCGAATTGGGCCGAGAAACGCATGGGACGACCTTCCTTTCTTTACGGGACGATTTGGTTGATCCGCATTAATTATAGGCCAAATCTAACTCAGTCACCTAAAATTAATCTTTATTTTATTTCTAATTCCATCTCACGCATAAATTTAATGGTTAATATTGGCCAAAGTTATATCACAAAGAATAGCTCTTCTACTCTTCCAAAAGAGATACTTTACTTGCAATGTTTAATATGGTGTCTTTTCAGCGGTGAAAGTGATAGCTTTGAAAAGAAAGAGAGAGAGAGAGAGAGAGATGAAGACAAAAAGATTCATGTGAATTCAAAGTGAGTCAAAAGACGCCAAGCCCACATCACACCTAACCTTATCAGTCACAATAATAATATAAAAAGGGGATAATATCAACATGCAAGTGACATGAAACCAAAAAGAAAGACTTGAAAGGAAGGGATAAGCATGTCGACAAGGAAAGATCGGATCATGAGAGAGAGAGAGATAGTTTGGGTCAGCATGGTCTGGAGCTTGATCCCAATGCCTCACGGAAAGACGCACAAGACAACGCAAGCTCGAGATGGTTTCATGCATGCCTTGGACAAGATATCAAGCGTTGGCTTTTGTTCCTCGGGGTGGGATGTTGGTGATGGCTTGCCAACTTTGACCGAATACATATTTGTTTCTGTACCTCTGTTTGTCTCCATCTATCTGGATTTAGAGAGAGAGAGAGAGAGAGAGAGAGAGCTCTATCTATCTACATCCATCCATGATAAGAGTCGAGAGAAACCTTCTCACCTCTTTCCCCTGTCCTTAAATCAAGCTCCTCATTCAAGTAATGTTACATAAACAACGAGAGGGCTGTGCCAGTTGAGTTGTACTGATGCGTGTGGTCGGTTGTGTGCATCACAAAACATGCTATTTGTCTCTTGCAATCCCCTAGTTTATGTATCAGCAGAGTGCACCGAAGGAAGCAGTGAGCATGAATGTTGTTGGACTGTGCCAGAGACACATTATTCCTAACACCATTTGGAAAATTCACAGACAGAGAGAGAGAGAGAGAGAGAGAGAGAGAGAGAGAGAGAGAGGAGTAAATGAGTGAATTGATTGTGAATCTAATGCATGTCTACCATTAATGTACACCTACTATTTTGATATGATAGATGATAGCAGTGGTTTGTTTGACAATGATCTCGTGGCACTGCGAGGGGGAAAAGAAATGCATATAGGTCCTCCTCGCTCCTCAGTGCCCTGTGAGTCACGAGAACAACTAGTCCCCAAATAAACCTCAACAAGGATGCTTTTTGGATTAACATATTGCTCGTAATTGGTGGAGACATGTTGAGGTTTGCTCCTTTAGCAAAGCCAGGAAGTGATAATGTTCGCTTTAACCAGAAAATTCGTGAAAAATCGGCATATGATTCCTTGCTCATTGATCTATTTAATGTTGGTCAGTACATAGTTTTTTTCCTCCCTCTCTCTCTCTATCTCTTTTGGTTCCTTTTACAGCTTCATCGAACCTTACTATACTCCGATCGTGTTCCGGTTGACAGAATCACAGTTGGATGTCTTCACATATATTTCATGGCAACTGCTTGGGATCTTGGCAAGTGACCACCGATACAGCTTTCAGTTTGCGCCAAGGATGATGTATGGGTTTCCTAGCGAGCGTGATGTAGTGCTCCCTCCATAAAAGGAGCTTTAACAAATATGTAGTGACCAGAGCAACACCATCCCATGGTGCTAATCCCACGACTTGGTGGTGTAGCTCCAAGCCTGCCTTTTAGCCTTGGCACAATGAGTCGTCGACGGTCCTCGATACCTTTTCGGGAAGCTTGAAGATTCATCCTGCTGTAATGTGCTCGTCTAGCAGCGAACCGGAAGATACAGGATGAACAAGAAGGAGATGCAGCTGAGCTCGTCTAGCCAACCGAGTTCATGCACTGCATTCTCGATTGTGAATTATTTGGGAAATGCATCAGTTCATATATCATGTGAAGATTCAGAAAGGTAACTGAACATTTTAACCAATCGATGGGAACGGCCAATCCAATAAATGGATCATCCCATTTCTGTTCGAGTCGCAATGATTCACAAGCTGTGTCTCACCGGGAATCTGGACCACCGAGGAGGCATTGGAACATGCATCATGCGCATTCATATTCGATAGAGAAGACAACTAGTTGTGCTGGTTCCTGTGTGATCTCCGTATGAGATGGCAAGACAAGCCTACCCCATGCATTTCTTGTTCTTTTCATTCTGAGATCAAAGGTTGACAAGGAACAATCATAAGGGCATGCTTGAATCATCCGTCCTCAGCTCTGCGACAAGCTGCAAATCTTTCCGTCTGCTTTTTGATCAGCCTTAGAGCACCCACAGCCACCTTTTTTTTTGGTTTTTTGTTTTCCTTCGGTTACTCTTTCCCCTTTTCTTCCTGTTTTAGTGCCTTCCACAGCAGGAGGCCAGCTCAATATCCTCACCTTCGAATGCCACCAAAGGAACAAAAGGAAGAAGAAGATGGTACCACCACATTCATGACCACCAACCCCACCTCTCTCTCTGCAGACACGCCAAGACGAAACTGTTCCCTCCTCTGAATTGTAACTGAAACCCACGGTGAGGAAGCACCTAACTCCTCCCATCGCATCATGACCACCAACTCCATTAAATCAATCTCCCACACACTCTTCACCCCCTGCTCACAATATTCTAATGCTCCTCCTCTCTTTGGCTTCAACTCTCTTCTCCGTATCACCCCTCCCTGGATGCTCTCTCCCGCCCCCATCTGACCTCTCCGTTCGTCTCCTTCACAATCCCAACCGCCCCTTTCCGAAGCCCATTACAACATTCTAAGAGAAGAGGAAAAAAGAACAATAGCAGACGCCAGAGCCCGTCACCTCTGTCCCCGATGTGGTGAGGCTTCCCTTGTGTCTGGAAATCCTCCTCAGAGCTAAAAATATGAACCACATAGCGAGTGCGGTGATTTCTTGACCTCTTCAAAGATGGATCTTGAGCGCGGTGGCGCCGGAGCTGGCCGCTACTCCACTCCTGAAAAGGTATGTTGGGTTTTCTTCAAAAAAGATCCCTTTTTTATTGATTTGGTGTGGCTTATGGGGCTCGTTTTGATCCCATGTTTTGGTGAAATTTGCGTGACAGACGAAGGATTCATGGAGGACGGCGCTGACATTAGCCTACCAGAGTCTCGGGGTCGTGTATGGCGATCTGAGCACGTCGCCGCTGTACGTATACAAGAACACCTTCGCCGAGGATATAGAACACTCGGAGACGAATGAGGAGATCTACGGCGTGCTCTCCTTCGTCTTCTGGACCCTCACGCTCGTCCCCCTCCTCAAGTATGTCCTCATCGTGCTCCGGGCGGACGACAATGGCGAGGGTGGCACGTTTGCGCTGTACTCCCTCCTCTGCCGCCACGCCCGTGTCGGATTCCTGCCGAATGGTCAGCTGGCTGATGAGGAGCTATCCACTTACAAGAAGATGGACGGTGGGGGAGCTGCTCCGCCGATGGGCGCTGACACTGCGGCATCAAGGGTGAAGAGGCTGCTCGAGAAGCACCATGTGTTGCAGCGCCTGTTATTGCTTCTCGCCTTGATCGGGACTTGCATGGTTATCGGGGATGGTGTTCTCACACCAGCCATTTCTGGTGATATCTTGTTCTTCTTTTGGATTCTCCCCCATTTTTGGGGACGTTTCATTGTTCTCGCCGCTCGGGGGATGTTCTGACCAACCAGTGGCGGCTTTGCAGTTTTCTCGGCGGTTTCAGGGCTCGAGCTCTCCATGTCCGAGGAACAACACAAGTGTAAGCCGATTCTGAACACTCATTCACAAACTCGATTTTGTTAGGATTAGCAATAATGATTTTTGTTGTGTACAACAAGCACATTTGGCTAACCACTAGAGCTTTTCCAGGTGATCTGGTTGCTGTCACACTTCTCGTTTACTTCTTCTGTGATGTGGATGTGCCTAGTTTGATTCCTATATGATGCCTCTTTTTGTTCTTTGTTTTGATGACTAGCAATGGATTGACTTGCTCTATATGATGCTGAGATCCTATGGTTGCTTACACCCTGAAGATGTGTGCTTTTAGCAACCTTTTTTGTGTCTAAAATCTACCCTTGCATGTAGGTTTATGATAAAGGAGAAAAAAAAAAAGTGGTGACTTTTCTTTTCTTAGTCACAAAAGTTTCACAAACTGACTTCTAGTATTTATTTAAATTACATGTGATACAGGTCTGGTTTTGACCAATAAGACAGAATAAATTACCTCCGATATGTCCTTTGTAATTCTTTACCAAAGAAGATCTATGAGGGTTGTTTATTTTTGTGCTTGAAAAATCTTTCTTTAGGAGTGCAGCTTTAAGGATCATGGAATTTAGAATCCTGTAAATGACCAAATTTAGGCTACTTGCTAGAATTACCAAAGACGGAAATTAGAAAATGTCAATTTTTTGATATGTTCATGAGACAAGAAACAAGTTCAAATTATCTATTCATTCCTCATTAATAAATGGTGCCTGTTCATTCTTAAATATGTAATTGGCGCTGTTGTATAATCTGAGCTGCTTCTGACAATCCAATGGTAGTATAAATGTGCCAAGGCTTATATCACATGATTTTGCTGTAATAAGATACTTTAATGATATGTTGCTTTGCACAGCTATTGATTCTCTTTTTGGTCGTATAAACCAGCGTATGATATTTCTATAGATTCTCTTTTGCGGACTCGCCTGCAACTTGTACTGCTTAGACAGACTTTCTGGCTTGATGTTTACTTTTAGCATTCATCGATGTGCAGATGTGGAGGTTCCCGTAGCATGCCTTATATTAGTTGCTCTGTTCG